TGTGATGACAAAAAATTTAAACAGTACAAAAGAATACACAGAAAGATCCAGTTCTTCCAGTCTTTTGCGGAAGCAACCGCTCTTATCAGTCTCCTGGATAACTTTCTATGCAATATGAGGTATTTTATTTTATTTATTTATTTGGCACAGAGAGAGAGAACACAAGCGGGGGGGCAGCAGGCAGAGGGAGAAGCAGGCTCCCCACAGAGCAGGGAGCCCAAAGTGGGACTCCATCCCAGGACCTTGGGATCATGACCTGAGCTGAAGGCAGACACTTAACTGACTGAGCCACCCAGATACCCCTTAAAAACTTTTTATTGAAGTATGATACCCATACTGAGTATATTCTAATTACAAATTAACTCATGCTCATTGTAAAAAAAAAAAAAAAAAAGTTCAAACAATACCAAAGCTTTTTAATTAAAAGAAACAGTCCCCTTGCACTGCTCCCCAGTCTCCTTCCCTAGAGGTAACCACTGTTAATATTTGGGACCTGGAAACCTTATTGTCATTCTTGAACTCAGAAAGCTCAGATTCTTGCTAGACTTCTTCTACTTCATCTCATTTTACCTCCCACATTGCACATAAAATTCTTTTTTTTTTTTAAGATTTTATTTATTCATTCGTAAGAGACAAGAGAGAGAGGCAGAGGGAGAAGCGGGCTCCCTGATGTGGGACTCAATCCCAGGACCCTGGGATCACAACCTGAGCCGAAGGCAGACGCTTAACCATCTGAGCCACCCAGGTGCCCTGCACATAAAATTCTAATAGGTAAGTATTATTATCCCCATTTTGCAGCTGAGGGATCTGAGGCTCGGAGAGGCGTCTCAGGGGTTGGTTGCTCAAGGACACAAGGCAGAGCCACTCGTTCAGCCCCAGGGGAGTGTGTCTGCCTCCAAGCCCAATGCTCTTTCCACCATGTTCCTCCCCCTGATTCCTGTCTGGAATCTTAGAGCTTAGCTGCTGTGACACATGAGGTAGCAGGTAAAATCTCAGGTTAAAATATAATTAAGGGCTCATTTTTTTTTAAGAAGGAGAGGACCTGGTCCTGTGGGAGCTGTCACCAAGCATCCTTTACTGCCCAAGTCCGGAACGGTGATGAAAAGATGCCACCCACTTCAAGAGATGTCAAGCGTGGATGAGTTAATTACTTAGAGTTTGACTTTGTAAGAAGGGGCCGGGACTAGAATGAGACCTGCCCCCTGAGGCAGGGACAGGAGCAGGGGGAAAATAGCCAGCAGATGAAAGGGTCTGTATTATTGTCCAATTCCCCAATCCAAGAAAATTCATACAATCCAACTGAGTGGCAGAATCAGCAAGAGGAGTGCCAGGAGGAAATCCCCGGCATTCGGCAAACATCCTAGTCTTCTGTACACCACTGTGCCGTGCACATTGCTTGGAACGCCCTTCCTGCCTTTCTCTGCTCAGCAGATTTACCCTTCACAATCAGGTTACAGCATCCCTACCTCTCTGAAGCCAGCGACTCCCTCTTTATAAAATTTATCACACTGTGTATACGAAACATGTGTGTATTTTCCTGCCTCCCATGTGAGTCTGTGAACTGAAGCTCTAGGCAGGGTCCATGTGTTACTGATCTTTGGGTCTCTTCCAGTATCTGGCTCAGGATTTGGCACATAGTAGGTGCATCTCTGTTGCCAGTGGTCATTTGTCTTCTTACTTCTGGGATCTCTTTTCCCCTCTAGGAGGCCTTCCTGAACAGGACCCAGGATGGGCCTATGCAAGCTTTCTCTCACTTAGCCCCCATCTGGCCTACAGAAAACATTTCCTGGGGTGCCTGGGTGGCTCAGTTGGTTAAGCAGCCAACTCTTTATTTTGGCTCAGGTCATGATCTCAGGGTTGTAAGATTGAGCCCCAAGTTGGCTCCATGCTGGGAGTGGAGCCTGCTTTAAGATTCTCTCTTTCTCTCTTTCTGCCCCCACACCCAAAAAACAAAACATTCTCTGACAAATTCTGGGAGAGCAGGCCAACTCCAACATAGCAGCACTCTCCTGGGTCTGCCACCAAAGCAGTTATCAGGCTTGTCTCTTGTTGCTAGATTTCCCAGGCAGGAGGTAGATCCAGTCCCTGTGTTCTCCAACTGCAATGGGGACTGATTTGGCACCTCAAACCCTTCTGGAAGTTCCCTCTTCCAATCACCTGGCTTGAACAGTTAAATCTTCTCCAAGAAGGGTGGGGACTCACAGCCAGAAATAGCTCCACACAAATTCTCTATCCTCCACTCCCTTGACCCCATAGATAAGGGATTTAAGAACTTTAAAATACATTTTAGGCCGTTAGAAAAAAATACATATGTTTTTTAGCACCTCACTTTGAAATTTCACATATATAATTTTAAAAAGAAAGAAATTCGGTCAGTCCAGGCAGCCTCTTGGCATGGGGTACGGAGAATGTCTATAAATAATGAGCAAGGCTGGGGCGCAGAATCCGTATTTTAGCCCTGGGAGAGGCTTAGGATATAAAGCATGTTCCAGAGATGGAATTTGGAGCATAAAGAAGGAAGCCCAGTTCACCTGGAGGGGGCCAATGTTGATTTTCTTTCCACGGATCCATCATCTCTCCCTCCGATACAGCCTCCTTTGAGGACCTCTCCCCACTCTGGTTCATCAGACAGATTCAACATGGCCAGGTGGATTAAGTCTTTTCTCAGAAGGCACTAGGGCCTCAAGCAATTCAAGTGATGTGTATGATTACTCGTTTGCTTGTCCCAAAAGTTCCTGGCACTTTGAAGAACATTTGAAGGCTGATGTATTCTCAAAGTCTGGAGAACATTTGGGGGGGGAATATTACCCACCCTCACACATCACTGAACTCCACTTTCTGTTCTGGCCCAGACAAAATACCCAGTTGTACTACTTTATGTTTTAATACGATTTCCAACTTTCTGTTAACACAATTGTATTATTATCTAATACTAGTACATAATAGGTGCTCAGTAAATGTTTGCTGGGTGAATGAATAAACAAACAAGGGAATGAATAAACAAATCCCCCCTTTGCAAAGATCAAAGATTAGTTTGGTTTTAATCCCCTTCTACTCCATTTACCCTTTATTGGTAGTCTGAAACCTATGTTCACTCCTCCTGGTCTTAAAACATATTGTGTAGTTTGTTGATGGATTTTATTACTGAGCACCTATTTTGTACCAGGGATTGTGCTGAGTACTAGAGATACACAGCCCTATGCAGTGCTTCTCAAATGTGTTCCCGATATATGGCCTAAGGTATCGGCCAAAATGCCAATTCTGGGGCTTCACCCTTTGTAACATTGGGGCTGACTTGATTCATTCATTCAATGGATGCTTATTTAACACCCACCACGTATCAGGCTCTCTGATAAATGCTGGGAATAAGTCAGATATAGTCTCCTCTCCTCATGAAGCTTAAACTTTTGAGGGGGAGAAAGATAATAAGTAAACAAAAAAATGATAGTAAGTGGAAAATGCTATGAAAGAAACAGAGTACTGTGATAAAAAATGATAGGATATTATTTTAAATAGCATGGTCAGGGAAGACCTAGCTAAGGAAGTATCATTCAAGCTGAGGCCTGAGGGAGGGAAAGGTATCAGTTAAACCTAGAGCTGGGGGAAAAGCGGTCTAGGTAGAAGGCGTAGTATATGCAAAGGCCCTGAGGCAAAGAGGTTATTTCTTTTCTTTCCATTGCAAATATTGTTGTAGTGAACACTCTTGCTGAGTTCCTGTTGCAGGAGTATTTGCCTGGGGTGGATTCCCACACCACTGATTCTTTGCATCTTTTTCTCTGTCCAGTGTCTGTGATGTTTCTTCTTTTCTCCCTAGATAGTTTGCCTTTCAGAATCCGGGTCCTCCCCCTCCTTCCCTTTCCCCCCACTTACATTCTCTTTTTCTCAAAGTAACTGTTAAGAACTTTTTTTGTTCTTATAGGAGAAAAGATACAGTATAGCTCTTTCAAAGTGTTCCCTTCTCAGGTTCTTTTGTCTGCAGATTGTGTTCCACTCCTACTGTCCATTCATCCATTCATCTACTCACTCAGCACTTACTGAGCACCTATTTTGTACCAGGGATTGTGCTGAGTACTAGAGATACACAGCCCTATGCAGTGCTTCTCAAATGTGTTCCCGATGTATCGCCTAAGGTATCTGCCAAAATGCAGATTCTGGGGCTTCACCCTCGGTTTACTCACTCTCTAGGGGTGGAATCCAAGACTCTGCATTTTAAGAAGCTCCCCCATTTTTTGTTTTTGTTTTTTAATCCCAACTAAAAATTTAGAACCACTTAGTGGAAAAGAGGCAGGTAAATGAAATTTACAACTCCAAGAAAATGTTTTGATTGATAATGCATTGATAATTTAAGCACAAAACGCTATAAAATAACACTTGGGTCATATAGGTAAGAAAGAGTCCTCTAGAGGAAGTCAGGCGTACACAGAAAATTAAACAAACTACAGTTCTTCGGCCTAAGACATTCAGGCAGAGGCCACCCTGTGTAAGACGTGGGCGAAAAACAGTGCCGTGTGTCGAAACGACACTAAGTATGCTATAAGTGTTGTGTTGCCTGAGGCTGCTTGGAGCTTGGAGGTCTGAATGCGAGAAAACCCTAGAGGTTGCCTGGCAGGTTTTATCCCAACCCAGGAGCGGGTTCCCTCCTTCCTCACGCAGTTGCTAATTGCACTCGGATTTGTGGGTGGAGCAGTGAGCTGGCGCACGTAGAACCGGGACCCATACACATGCGCAGTGTGTAACCTCGAAGCCAAAACGGGGATGATTGAGGGCAAGATTTTTCTCTTACCAAGACTTCCCTTACTCAAATCCAGCAACCCTGGCTGTCCTCATTTCTGGCCAGGGAATCTTACATCTCTTAATGTAATCTCACCGTTCCTTCTGGGCCACTCCAGTAAGTCGGCTGCCAGTACTCAACATGGCGGCAGGCCCCGAAGCGGCGCAATCCGCCTATGGGCCGCCTACTCGGGGGGCGGGGCTCTCCGCCGGGGCGGGAGCCTGGGGGGCGGGTTCTGGGCCGCGGCCGGGTGCTGGGCTCCCGCCCCCGGCCGGACCTTAGTGGCTGCATCTCCCGCTCGGGCGGTGAGGATCACGCTGGAAATCGCGGGAGCCGAGCGTGGTGAGGTGGGGCCTCAAGGGCAGGCGGGAGGTGCCTGGGTTAACGGTCCGAGGCCCAGAGACGCGCCCGCGAAGGGCGCCTTGTGGAATCCCGTTCGAGCCGCGGCTTCCCGTTCCCGGGGAGGGATCCGAGGCCCAGAGAGGGTCTCGGACCCGTCCTAGGGATTCCGGCCCCTTGCCTCCGCGTCCAGCTGCGGCCACCACTCTGGGCTCCAATTCCAGCAGAAAGGGATCTTCCCAACCCTCGTATCCAACAGCTGCGAGTCCGGGGGTGTCAGGAAAAGGCGCTGTGCTCTGCTGCGCGCGTCTCGCTCCCGCCTCCCAGAATTTTGCGGCTCCCTCTGCCCCTGGGGCTTTGCACGTGATCTGTCCTAAAGCCCAGTCGCATCCGCCGCCCATATCGCGTCCTTGGAAACAGTTCCAACCGCTTTCTGCAGGCGATGTTAATCCCGCTGCTTGGGTTTTTTGAACTCGTTGCACCGAGTTATTTTTCCTGCCCCTCTTGTACACCCGTGCACTTGGGGCGTTATGCCTTGCCTTTTTCATCTCTATATTACGGAGTCTGGCACATGATGATATTAATAATATTTCCTAGATAGTCACGAAGCGTCAAGTGCTACTAAATGCATTACACGTGAAGGCCCATCTAGTCCTCACAGCAATTTCATAAAGTGGTTCTATGTCTTCACATTTTATGCATGAAGAAACTGAGGCATTCGTGGATCATTTTGCCTAGAGTTCCACAACTAATTAGTGAGTGGAGCTGGGAAATGCATTCTAGGCTGTGTGTCCCCAGAGCTTGTGATAATTTCACTGGATTGCCTTTGGGTTCGATAAATGTCTATTGAACTGGTTTTTATTTTAACCCCATGTGTTACGGTGGCCGCGGTTATGATGTGCATTGGACTGAGAGAGCTTGGAAAGGAGAATTAATGTTCCCAAATATTTAGAGTGAGTTTGTGACAAAATCCGGGCTAGAACTTACTGCCAGCACTCCGTTCCTTCAGGCACATCTTTGCTCCTTTTCCATCAGAGAGCTGCAGACCTAGACCTCATCATTTCGCAGCCTTTAGAAAGTACCCCTCACAGAGCTGTGATTTCATATTTCATGATTTAGGAGGCAGCTTAACGTAATGGATTAAGTCTAGAGTTTGGAAGCAGATTGGGGTTTCATGTTTGCTCGGCTACCAATCATTTATATCCCTTCCATTTTTTGAGCTTCATTTTTCTTGTCTGCAAAATGAAGACAATGACCGTATCTCAGAGGTTTTTTTGTGAAAATTGCAAATAATTGTTTTGAGAGAGTAAAGTGCTATGTAAGGTACATGATCTGTTTTTTACGTTTTAGAGGGTTATAGAGCTGTGAGCGTTTTGTAGGACCATTGGTGATGTGGATCATGTTACCTAATGCCCTTATATTCTTTCATTCAGTCAGTCAAATATTTAATGAGTACCTGCTATATACCAGGCACTGTTTTAGGAGCTGGAATATAGCAGTCAATAAAACTATTCTTGTACTTGGGAAATTTACATTCTTATAAGTATATTACACATAATAATCAGATAGGGACAGATAACACATGGTAAGGTAAATAGAAATACCAGTGTGTGTGGAGGGGCGGTGGTATTTTATATTTGGTGGTTAGGGAACAACTTTGGAGAAGGTGACACTTGAGCAGAGATCTGAACATGGTAAGGGAGCGAGCGAATCCAGAAGATAACTGGAGGAAGAGGCTCAGAGATGAGTGGGTGGCTTGGTGTGTTCCAAGCACACGCAGCAAGGAGGGCTGTGTGGCGGGAGAGGAGTAGGAAATGGAATTAAAACGATTGGAGGCTGGGATCAAATAATTAGGAGCCAGTAGGCCATGAGGATGGGTTTGGGTTTTCCTCTGAGTAGCCATTGGAGGGTTCTGAGTTGCATAATCTGTCACTGTTTTAAAAGGATCACTCCCTGATCACTCTGTTGAGAAGGAACAAATTCTAGAATCAAGAGTAGAAGCATTCCAACAGTACAGGAAGCTTTTGCAGTAGTGCAGATGTATTAATTCTCTATCGCCGGGCAAGAAATCACCCCCAAATTTAGCAGCTTGAAATAGCAATTGTTATCTCATACAGTTGTCGATTAGAAATCTAGGAATGGGGCACAGTCGGGTTAAGGCTCCGACTCTTGGTTTTGGCTCAGGTTGTGATCTCGGGGTTGTGGGATCCAGCCCTGCATCGGGGCTCCTTACTTGGGATTCTCTCTCCCACTCCCCCTGCCCCTCCCGCTCATGCTCTCTCTCTCTCTCAAAATAAGTAAATCTTTAAAAAAAAAAAAAAAAAAAAGGAATCTAGGAGCAATTTAGCTGGGTGTTTATGGCTTAGGATCTGTCAGGAGATGGTAGTCAGGTTGATGGCTGTTCTGCTCCCAGGATGTTTCCTTACTGCTGGACCTTTTCATGGAGCTGTCTGAGTGTCCTCAGGACATGGTGGAGAGAGTGAAGAGAGAGAGGCCATAGTGCCTTTTATGAACTTTTCTTGGAAGTCATTTCTACTTTATTCAGCTTCATTAACTTTATTCCAGTTCCCACTCAAGGACAGAGAATAGGCTGTGCCTCTTGAAGGAAGGAATATCAAAGAATCTGTGGGCATTCCTAAAAGCCACCACACCAGGCAAGAGAGAGTGGCTTGGCTCAGGATGGTGGTGGTGGGGGTTTGAAAAAATAATAGGATCTGGTAGAGCCAACAGGATTTGCTGATAGATTGGTTACAGGTTGTGAGAGAATGGAGTAAATATGACCATAGGCTTTGGGCTTGAGCAGCCAGAAGGATGGAATTGCCATATACTGAAATGGGGAAGATTGGAGGAGCAGAAGTTCATTTTTGGACAGGTTAACTTTGAGGTGCTTGTTAGACACCCACGTGAAGAAGTTAAATAGGTGTCTGGACTTAGTCTAGGAGTGTGAAGTTCCAGAGGGAAGTGTGGCCTGGAGACCTAACATGGGGAGTCATGGGTGTTTAGGTGCTATTTTAAGTCATGAAACTGGATGAGGTTGCCCCGGAAATGAATGTAGATGGAGGAGAGGCCAGAAGCCTGAGCCCCGGGGCCTCTAACCTTGTTGGGGAGATGAGAAACCAGCAAAGGAGACTAAAGGGAGAGGCCAGAGAGGTGGGAGGAGAAAAGGGAGAGGCCCCACATGGGAGATTTATGGAAGGGGCCGCAAGCTATTTTTTTTTTTTCTAGTTCCCAAGTGTTATTCAAGAATTCATATAGGGGCGCCTGGGTGGCTCAGACGGTTAAGCGTCTGCCTTCGGCTCAGGTCATGATCCCAGGGTCCTGGGATCGAGTCCCGCATCGGGCTCCCTGCTCCTTGGGAGCCTGCTTCTCCCTCTGCTTCTCTCTCTCTCTGTCTCTCATGAATAAATAAATAAAATCTTTAAAAAAAAAAAAAAAGAATTCATATAAAATATTCCAGATAAATCAGTTTTAATCCTCATCTTCCTCCTCTCCCTCATCCTAGTTAATCTAGGATGTAATACAATCAATCACATAGATTATTCCCCTTCAAATATTTTGTGGTGGGATATTTCAAATACCTTTTGGAAAAAGGCACCTCAGAAGTTACAGTAATCTTGCTCTTGGTTACCCTCCACTGAGATTCCCAGCTTTTCCATTCACTTTGATTCTCTCTTGAAGAAATTGCTCAAAATTGGCAGCATCCATGATTTCATCTTCTACAAGTTGAGTCCGGTCGAGGGTAAACCTCAGAACTCGCTTTTTTTTTTTTTTTTTTGCACCCTCCCCCCCTTCACCACGAGCTTTTTCATGGGTGCCATGGCGTAGTAGGGGCAGAAAACATACTAATTTTTTGTGTGTGGAATGAGAAACAGAAATTGTCTCTGCGGACAAACATATATAGTTTCTTTGCTCAGGAAGTAAAAAGTGTTGTGCCCTCAGGCATTTTTCCTTTTTTGCTGTATTTAATGATACTAGTCCCATCCTAGTCCTTGCAGTATATACACCTCCAAGTCTAGGTGGTGTTGCTTCTATTTTAAACTTTATTTAAATACCCCTTTTGGAGTATTTCCAAATACTAAACTAATTTAGTGAGGGGAACTAAACATAATGTATATCACTCTTCTGTTACGTTCCACCCTAGGTTCAGAGGTTACTGCTCCTTCCCGTCTGGTTCTTAGCAAAAGGAGGTCAATCTCGCTCCTCTCTGTATCATGGTGGCAGACTGCCAGGAACTGAGCTCCAATTCATAAGCATTTATGGGATAAGTTAATACATAAGAGAAGTGAATCTTTTTCCTTTTCCTGTCTATTCAGTGCTTTACAGTTTACAGAACTGCTGACATCCATGATCTCACGTGAATGCGATCCAGGCTGTTACCATTTGCCAACTACTGACCTTTTCCTTTGCTGGGGGGGATACTGAAACCGACCTTTCTTTTGGCGCTCTGCTAGTTTGTTCTCTGGGAGATCTGACAGAGTGTTAATAAAACAGTGCTGAAGTGCATCTTGAGGAAACTCAAAACTAAATCTCAATTTCAGAAAGATTTTGATGTAATTTTTCTCTGTGCGTTCCCTCTTTTTATTCTAGTTTTAATGAACTTAAGTTTTATGGGGATTTTGTTTTGTTCTGTTTTGATCGTAAAACACTTCAAATCATTTTTAAGATAAACTATTTTTAGGACAATTTTAGATTTATAGAAAAATTGCATAATACAGAGAGTTCCCATATGCCCTACACCCCATTTCCCCTATTAGTAATATCTTACATTTGTGGGCGCCTGGGTGGCTCAGTCGTTAAGCATCTGCCTTCGGCTCAGGTCATGATCCCAGGGTCCTGGGATCGAGTCCCACATCGGGCTCCCTGCTCGGCACTCTCCCACTCGCTCTCCCACTCCCCCTGCTTGTGTTTCTGCTCTCGCTATCTCTCTCTCTGTCAAATAAATAAATAAAATCTTTAAAAAAAAAAAATCTTACATTTGTATGGTACATTTGCTACAATTCCAAATCATTTTTTGAGGTAAATGGAGCATATAAATAAAACATGAACAAAATGAAGTTACTGCATTTCTGTTCATAAGGCCTCAGTTTCCTTATCTATAAAATGGGAGGATTGGACTAAATTTTTAAATAGCTCTAAAATTTTTAAGTTATCTGAAGTAAAATAATCATATAATTCTTTTTTTCTTTTTTTTTTAAGATTTTATTTATTTATTTGAGAGAGAGAATGAGATAGAGAGAGCATGAGAGGGGGGAGGGTCAGAGGGAGAAGCAGACTCCCTGCCGAGCAGGGAGCCTGATGCGGGACTCGATCCCGGGACTCCGGGATCATGACCTGAGCCGAAGGCAGTCGCTTAACCAACTGAGCCACCCAGGCGCCCAATAATCATATAATTCTAATATAATTCCACTTCTTTACTGGAGTATTACTATCACCTTCCCAAATAATGTACACATGTTAATACCAGCCTTTTTTAAAAAAAGATTATTTATTTGAGAGAGAGAGAGCACACATGTACAAGCAGGGGGAAGAGCACAGGGAGAGGGAGAGAGGAAGCCGACTCTGTGCTGAGTGCAGAGCCCAACGCGGGGCTCGATTTCACAACCCATGAGATCATGACCTGAGCCGAAACCAAGAGTCGGACACTTAACTGACTGAGCCACGCAGTCGCCCCTCCATGTTAACAGCGGCCCTAGCCTCATCCTAAGAGATGGTTTAGTATGAGAATTCTGGGGACTGTGGCAGAGCTGCCTGTGGAGATAGTAGGTTGAACTATATGACATTATCATTTTTGTAGGTTAAAAAATGGGCAAATATTGGCAATTTTGTATGGTTCAATCAGACATCGGGGGGTAGGAACTCCAAGGAGGGAGAGGGAGCCCCTGGGACCTCTGAGACTCCCAGTGCGTGCAAAAGCCCAGCGCCAGCCCTCACAGTATCCAGAGAGAACGGGCCCATCAGGTCCCCTGAAGCAGCTCAGAGCTACTTTTGCTGCTGGCAGCGTTGGCAGCAAGAGTGGTTTCCCAGCAGGGTTGTGCTACAGCAAATGCTCAGTCTCTCCCTACATAGGGAGAGACTGAGCCAGCATTTCTCAGAGCCACGGTGAGCTGGTTGACACAGCCGTGGCGGAAAGAAGGGCAGAAAAAGAGGATCTTCGGAGTGCGGAGGAAGACTGCATTCACCCGGGTCAGAGGCTAGGAAGAGGCAGCCCGGGGTATTGGTGCCCCTCGACTCTTGTTGCTTTCTGCACTTTCCTTATGGGCTCCTACAGGCTCTTCTGTTGTCCGGGAGGTAACGTAGGTTAGTAAACAGAGTTTTCCTCCATAACTCTTACAAGAAAAGCAACAGCACAAGTGCAATGATAAATGACAACTAAAATCTGCTATCAGTGTGAGGGAGAGAATAGGCTGGGGCGGGTGGGGAGGTGGGGGGGGTGGAGACCAGTGAACCAGAGAGCATATGCCCTCTCTAAGGGGGCAAACACTCTTAACTGCAGCTGGTTGTTGCTTTGTAGGAATGCAGGTCACAAGTCACTAGGTATTGTGATTTTCCAAAGGAGTCAGAAGTGAGAATTTTTTTTTTAAAGATTTATTTATCTATTTGAGAGAGAGAGAGAGTGCACGTGCACAAGTGGGAGGGGCAGGGAAAGGGAGAGAGAATCCAAAGTGGACTCCGCGCTGCGCGCAGAGCCGGACTCGGGGCTCAATGCCACGACCCTGAGATCTTGACCTGAGCTGAAACCAAGAGTCAGCCCCTCAACTGTCTGTGCCACCCAGGCACCCCCAGAAATAAGAATTTTGTATGCATTCTCCCAGTGGTAAATATTTGTACCTTATTTGAATTCTTTTTTTTTTTTTTTTAAGATTTTATTTATTTATTTATTTGACAGAGAGAGGAGACAGCGAGAGAGGGAACACAAGCAGGGGGAGTGAGAGAGGGAGAAGCAGGCTTCCCGCTGAGCAGGGAACCTGATGTGAGGCTCTATCCCAGGACCCTGGGACCATGACCCGAGCCGAAGGCAGACGCTTAACCTAACCCTAACCCTAACTCTAATTGAGCCACCTGGGCGCCCCCCCTAATTTGAATTCTTAAAAGCTTGACATAGGCCACATAATGGTTGAAAAGAACCAGCAGGCCACATTTGTAACCTCTGCTAAGGGTTTAGATCTGCCTGGAGTGAGGCCCACATGCATTTCTTCAACATACTAATGATGGAAATTAATTAGACAGCTTCTGCTTTTGAGGAATTCACAGATTAGTAGAAAAGATAGACAATAATGATAAAATGTAATATAGTCATTAGGCTCGCTCTCTCTATTATATATATAGTTATGCATACAAATGTTATATATATATATATATGTAGTGTCATACATGTAGCTATAAAAGTGATCAATTCTTCCTGGGTACATCTGGGATGACATGATAGGAGGTGGCATTTGAGCCAGGATGTAGGAAATCAACAGTTTGGTGCATGAAAGGAATTTGGGGCCCCTGAAACTCCCACTGTATATGCAAATGTTAGATTTGCATTTGCTGTATATACTACTTTCTTCGGATGTTCACACTGATGGAATGCTGGCTGGACCAAGAGGGCAGCTCTAATATTCTATTTTCTTGATAGGTAATTGGGAAAACAAATATTCCTTAACCCTTCTGGTGGGTGTCTCATGTTTCAGGGTTAATAAAATAAGAACTCTAACCTACCCACCTCCTCCCAGGTTATCGTGTATTTTAGAGGCCTCAGAAACTCAGAGGTCACGTGGCTGGGAGCCCTCATCTTTGGATGAGGGCCTGAAAGGGAAATGGTATGTCTGAGATCCCAGAGCCCATTAGAGGCAGAGCTTGAATTGGCACCCCAAACTCTTCCTGACCACCATGCCTCCCCCTCTACTATGCCTCTCCCAAGCTCTCTGCTTAGGCTGGTGTCCCTCCCTCCCCATCTCCCCTCTGCCCCTGTGGGTGGTCCGTTGCCCTGTTTTGGCCCAGCTCCTGCTGCGTGAGGAGGTTTGCTATCCTACTGAAGCTGATTCCTTCCCCCATGCCCCCCCCCCCGACCCCCACTCTCTTAATGGATCCCCGGCCTGAAATGCCTGCTACTCTGTTCCTTTGTCAGAGAGTCAGACTTGCTTGTATTCAAATCCCTAATCAACCGAATGCCAACTATACGAACTTGGACAACTTGTTTAACCTTTTTAATTTCTTAACTGAGGCTTAACCTTTGTAAGCTTCAATTTCTTCATCCAGGTACAAAGAGTTATAATATTACCTACGCTGAAATGGGATAGGAAGGCATTGGAAGGTTCCAAGGTTCTTGTGATTACAAAATGACCTCGTACGGGTAAAGCACTTAACTGACTGACCCGTAGACATACTTGACAAGGATTAACTGTGGTGATGATGATTCACACAGTTCACAGACCACCGGATTGGGTTAAATGCCCTTCCACTGTTTTCCCTTACTGTCCTGTAACGTCTCTGTTATGATTACACAGACTTCATTGTGTTGTGATTGTGTCTTTCTCCCCTACTAGACTAGAACGCCTTCAGCGATTCCTTCCACAGATGGTTATTAGGCACTGTGCCAGGCACCAGGGATGGGTGGTAAACCAGGCGCTCTTGGTCTAGTGCAGAGTTCCAGAAGGCGTGCCAGAAAACACTGGTCCCTTAGCACCCCCCCCGCCTTAGAGATTAGGGTCCATGTTAGTATTTTAAAGGCTCTGATGGGTCCTGTCGTAGAGGAACCCACTTACTTTGCCCAACCCAGCTTTGTGAGACCTAGTGAGTATTTGATGAGTAAATTTGAATCACTTACACATTCCTTTCAACTCTTCTGTGTGCTTTGGTCCCCAGCTCAAGAGGAGGTCCAAGTGGCACAGCAATGATCAGAGACCTTACTGGGAGTGAGCAGCCTCTGGCTGCATAGGGGCCCGTGGGCTTAGCTGTCTGGTGCTCCCATGGAGACGGGAGGCCCTGGGGTGAACAGTATGAAGCCCCACGCGCTGCAGCTGGTGCTGGAGGAGCAGGTACTAGCGCTGCAGCAACAGATGGCGGAGAACCAAGCAGCCTCCTGGCGGAAGCTGAAGAGCTCCCAGGAGGCCCAGCAGAGGCAAGCAAGCCTCGTGAGGAAGCTGCAGGCCAAGGTGAGGCAGCGGCCTTTGCAGGGAGGCAAAGAGAACACGGCCGAGCGCTAGGTGCTGAGGGGGATAAGGGTTCCAGGAGACAGAGCCCTGTGGTGGGAATGCCCCTAAACAGCCCCTCCTGTGATGCTCACAACTGCTCCATGAGAGATCTGTCCTGTTGCTTTTAAAGATGGCAGTCACGAGGGCTAAATGAGCTGTCTGTGTTTGCTCTCCTCGGCTACAGCTAGGACCTGGCCCTGTGTTTTCTGGTTCCAAAGCCTCCAATCTTACCTCTCCAATACCACAGGCATAGAGAGAGTATTATTAACCGACCAAATCGAAACGACAAGATGTTATGGCCTTACCCCACTGTTATCACCCAGACTCTGTTCACAGCAGGTCCGCCCCCGATCCTCCCGGGCGTTTGGTTTGGGCTGTGTGTTCCAGCCATGACCGTCACCCAAACCCTGCTCTCTTGGCTTCAGGTGTTGCAGTACCGGACCTGGTGCCAAGAGCTGGAGAAGCAGCTGGAAGCCACCGGGGTGAGGGAGGCTGTTTTGTGTTCCCCGGAGTCCTCAGGGACTATACCTGTAAGGAAGGCCTTGTTTGCTGACTGAGGGAGGTTGGGGTATGATAAGGCCGCGTTTGGTGGAAGCCTCTCTCTCTCTTCAGCCCCTGGGAGCTTTATCACACAGATACTTTCATTGGATTGGCTATTCCAGGCCTGTCAAGGTGCCAGCCCTTGGCTCTCTGAGGACAAAATGCAGCTTCAGGAGATTTAACCAGACTGGAAAGGGTGTGGAATCAGAGGGAAGAAATGCATTTTTCCTCCAGAAGGTGTCACTGTTTATCTGTCTTAGATGTGGGCCTTAGCAGGCCTAAACATGTCTGTGGCAGAGGATTTATTTGTGCCGTTGGCTGGGTAGAACTGGCTTTGAAAAACCCATTGCCTTTGTTCCAGCTCCCTCTCTGCACCTTCTCACGTTACCCTCAGAGAAGTTCTCTCAGAGGAAGGGAAGAACCAAAATTTACTGAGCACCATTCTGTGTAGGCCAGGCACCGTTAGGCAGTCGTATATAATGACATCACTCAATCTATGAGGCAACTTTCTGAAAGGAACGGTGTCGCCTTCATTTTGTAGTGAAGACTGTGTGGCTCAGAGAAGTTGAATAACTTCCTGAGGTCCAAAATGTGGGATAGTAGAACTCAAGGCCGTTAGTGAAAGCTCTACCTTACACTTCTTGGGTTGAAAGCTCTTTTCACTACCCAACGCCATCTTTCAGGAGACGTCACTGGTCCACTTTTGGAGAAGGGGATGCAGTGGATTTACCTTCAGGATGGAGTGATTGAGAAAAGAGGCATATTGCTAACACAGCAGAGGAGGAATAAAAAGATAGCGGGTGGCTGCAGAAGGGGGCATCAGGGAATTGCTCTGAATGGTATTCTCCTCGGAGGTAAATATGGCTTGTTTCTGTCTGGCTAAGGGACCAACCCCTCAGAGGTGGGAAAGCGTGGAGGAGCCGAACCTGGAGCAGCTGCTGGTCCGATTAGAGGAGGAGCAACAGAGGTGATCAACCCCAAGTTCTCTGGCGGGGGCGATTCTGGTGGCCCGTGGGTCGAGAAGGCAGAGGGAGCACCTACGCCCTGAGCGCTAACAGGGCTCAAACCACAGACCTCAGCCTTAGCCCTCCAATTCCTGGCAATGGAAAATTCCAGTGTTTGTCATCTTACTCCGAGAGGTCCAAGGGTTGGATTAAGCCTTTATTTTGCACTTGCTCCTGCCCCTCCCCAGTGCAGGTGTGAGAGTCTAGCAGAGGTGAACACCCAGCTTCGACTGCACATGCAAAAAGCTGACGTGGTGAATAAAGCACTTCGGGAAGATGTGGAAAAACTGACAGTGGACTGGAGCCGAGCCCGGGACGAGCTAATGAGGAAGGAGAGCCAGTGGCAGATGGAGCAGGAGGTAGGAGGAACAGGAGGGCTTGCACTCTGGGGCCTGGTCCGCGCTGGAAAAGGGTACCTTCAGGACCTGGATGGAAGCTGATCTGTTGCTAGGGTCCCCGGCCCTCCTCCCCGCTCCTGCTGGTGGCTTTGCCCTGCTTCGGCTCTCGGCTGACTTCTGTCCTTACCTGCCTTGTCGAGGTTTTGCTGGCAGGTGGCATGACACTCAGAGCAGCTCTGTTCCTGCCTGAGGGACTAGCTTCAGTTCTAGAAGGATCTGAAAGCTTACTGACTCCCCTCTTCTGGAGGTCTACATGTCTAGATGCTAAGGAGGTAGCTGTTGAAACCGAATGGGGAAGAAAGGCCGGATACAGACCCTGGGGAATTTTCAGATCCCAGTGCAAGGAAACGAATGTTTCCTGAGCCTTTGCTGGGTGCCAGGTACTATGCTAGTCCTCACTGTAAGTCTGTGGTAATCATGGCGGTAGCAGCTGCTGTTTATCTTTTTCTAATCAGCTCGGAGGAGGGTCATATGCCATCTCAAACCCTTTGACCTCTTGACTACCACTGCTAGCTTTATTAAATGCTTCAGTGTGACCTGAATACAGACACCTGTTCATAAGCTATCTCCCGTAAGTCCCTCCTGCCCTCCCCTGAGTAGGCAGGAAGAATCCAGGACTCCTGTGCTGGCAAAAGACAGCCCTCTGCCCTTCGATATGACCTGGGTTTCTGAATACACAGTTCTTCAAGGGCTACCTGAAAGGGGAGCACGGTCGCCTTCTTGGTCTGTGGCGGGAGGTGGTGACCTTCCGACGTCACTTCCTGGAAATGAAGTCAGCTACTGACAGGTTAGTGTGGGGATAAGAAGGGAGGTTTGCCCCCACCGATTCTAGACTTAGGACAGGGGGCTGCTATGGAAGCAGGGGACAGGGGTAGGGGGGGTGGAGGAGTGGGTGGGGAGGGATGATGTTGTTGGATTCAGATGATTTTCCGCAGACCTGCTTCTCAGGCTTCACTGGGCCTGATCTCCATGCTCCCTTCCCCCATCCCCACTGGAGTCCGCTCTTTCCTTGCTTGTACTCAGAGACCTGACGGAGCTCAAGGCTGAGCATGTGAGGCTTTCAGGGTCCCTGTTGACCTGTTGTCTGCGCTTGACTGTGGGCGCCCAGTCTCGCGAATCTGATGGATCTGGGAGACTGGATGGGAGTGAGCCAACCCAGCTGCTGCTTCTACTAACCAAGACCCAGGAACTGGAGAAGGAAGCCCATGAAAGGAGCCAGGAGTTAATACAGCTGAAGAGTCAGGGCGATCTGGAGAAGGCTGAGCTGCAGGATCGGTGAGATGGACTGGGGTCCTGGGAAGGGGTTGCTGAGGGTGTTGACTCTCATAGGGAGATAGAGCTGGTGCGGGTCGGGGGTTGTGAAGAGCGTTCCTCCCATCAGAGGGGAGGGAGAGATGCCAGACGGAGTCTGGCTTGGAACCCAGTGCTACATGGGGCCATGTCACTGCCCTCTGCCCTCAGACTATCTTGCAGCTCAGTTTCTCTCCTGTTGATTTATGCAGCTAGCTGTGACTTTCGTCTGTCAACACCAAACTACTCCCATTCGCAGAACAGCCAAGCTCTTCCATGCTTCCCTGCCCTGGTACATGCTGACCTTAGGCTGGAACGCTTCCCTCCCTTCTGCCTCCACCTTATCCTTTAAGGCATGGTTCTGAGAAGCCTTCTCTGACCTCAGTAGCCTGTTAAATTTCTGTGCCCTGGTGTAGTCTTTTGACCTGCTTGCTACAGCATTAATCTCACTGTTTTTCTCTGATTATTTAGCTTCTTATTTTTGATTAGGTTCTTTTTTTTTTTTGGATTATGACAAAATAGATTTTTTAATAATAATAGTAAGAAGGGCAGGGACCTAAGCAAAGAGCCCCACTTGAATTTCTGGACGGGCTTGGGCTAGGGTTGTGTCACCACCTATTGGTGGTGTATGTAAATAGCAGTTTGTTTTGGTTTGGGTTGGGAAGGCACTGGGAACATAAGGTCAGAGACCATGGCTTAGTAAGCACTTAGTAAGTGCTTTGCGCTTCATCTGCCATATAGTAACATTCAATGAATGTTTGTTGAAAGATACAATGATTAAATGAGTGGCCATACAGTGATGAAGGCTCTTAGAGATGGTACAGAATAAAATTATTAAGACTTTGAAAAAAAAAAGAATTTTAACTCCTGAATAACATTCGTTCAAGAAATATTTGTTTAGGGGCCCTGGCTGGCTCGGGAGAGCATGCACCTCTGGATCTTGGGGTCATGTGTTTGAGCCCCACGCTGGGTGTAGAGATTACTTAAAAAAAAAATCTTAGGGGCGCCTGGGTGGCTCAGTCGTTAAGTGTCTGCCTTCGGCTCAGGTCATGATCCCGGGGTCCTGGGACCGAGCCCCGCATCGGGCTCCCTGCTCAGTGGAAAGCCTGCTTCTCCCTCTTCCCCACTTGTGTTCCCTCTCTTGCTGTGTCTCTCTCTGTCAAATAAATAAATAAAATCTTTAAAAAGAAAATCTTAAAGAAGAAATATTTATTTAGCTACCCATATAATACCAGGCACTGAGCTCCAGGATATAGCATTAGGTGACAGTTGTATGATGATTTCCCTGAACTTTTTTTTTTTTTTTAAGATTTTTATTTATTTATTTGACAGAGATACACAGCGAGAGAGGGAACACAAGCAGGGGGAGAGGGAGAAGCAGGCTTCCTGCTGAGCAGGGAGCCTGATGCGGGGCTCGATCCCAGGACCCCGGGATCATGACCTGAGCCGAAGGCAGACACTTAACGACTGAGCCACCCAGGCGCCCCGATTTCCCTGAACTTTGAAGTCAATATCACAGAGGTTGACCATAATCTCCCCCAAATTGCCCCTCCATTTTCCTCATCAGAGACCCTTGGGCTGGAGGGACGTTGGGACTGTCCCATTTGGCAACTCTGGTATTCTTATTGGCTTCAGGGTGCTTGACTTCAAGATCAAGCGGGGCCTGGAAGGGCCTGGTCCAGGGCTTTCCTTCAGCTCTCGGGCCCCCAAACACGAGTTCCAGCCTTGAGATGTGGTAAATCCCTGCATGTGTCTGAGTGGCTTTTGACTCCTCCCCTTGCCCCCAGTTCAAGGCTATAGCATCATGTGGTATTCAGGGAGTGCAGGGGCTGGGGGTGCCCAGGGGTCTCTGGGGGGCTGCAGTGGGAGTGTCTGTTGGGGCTGGGGTATGCTGCATAGTAGCTCTGTCCATCTCAGTGGGCCGCCCACATGACAGTGTTGTGCTCTTCTCTTCAGGGTGACCGAGCTCTCTGCCCTGCTGACCCAGGCTCAGAAGCAAAATAAAGATTATGAGAAGATGTTAGAGGCTCTGAGAGAGACTGTGGAGATCCTGGTACATGACCCTTTGTTCTGGAAAGTAGTTGGGAGTGGGCCTATGGGTTCCTTGTCCTTTATGGACAGATGATGCAGGATACCAGTTAAATATTCCTTGAATAAAAGCAAAAAAAAAATAAATGTTGGCTGAATCTAAAAATTAATTAACTCATTCATTTATTCATTCATCAGTAAATACTGTGTACTGTCCCTACTGTATTCCTGGGGAAACTACCATGGCGTGCGCGTGCAGTGTGTCCTCATCAAAGAGAGTGGGCCACGCATTATGAGGCACACTGGCAAAGGATGGGGATGTGTGAGAGATTCAAAACCTAGTCATATGGGAAACAACTGAGGAGTATGGTGACGGTCAGCCTGGAGAGAAAAGGGCTTGAGGAGGACATAATGGCTGCCGTCACAGATCTGCAGGACTGACAGCAGGGGAAAGAGTTGGCTTAGTTAACGTTGTCCAGCCAGCACAGGCAGTGTTGGTGACCAGAAGCTGCGGGCTGGTAGAGTTTGTCTAGCAACGAGAGCGGCTCAGTAGCTGAGCAGTCTGTCCTGTGGAAGAGTGAGGTTTGTGTCCCTGGCTTCTCATCTGCCAGAGATGTTACCAAAGGGACTCTGTAAGGTTGGGCTAGTTAAAACCTCTGACTTGATTCCACATTTCCTTTCGTTTCTAAGAATTTTCAGATCTCTCTCTTTAGGCAGATCCTGAATGACCATCTACATGCAAACCTCTAGTCTTCTTTTTTTTTTTTTTTATTCTTCTGTTAATCCCCATACATTACATCATCAGTTTTAGATGAAGTGTTCCATGATTCATTGTTTGTGCACAACACCCAGTGCTCCATGCAGAATGTGCCCTCCTCAATACCCACCACCAGGCTAACCCATCCTCCCACCCCCCTCCCCTCTAGAACCCTCAGTTTGTTTTTCAGAGTCCATCGTCTCTCATGGTTCGTCCACCCCTCCGATTCCCCCGCTTCATTCTTCCCCTCCGCTACCTTCTTCTTCTTCTTTTTTTTTTTTTTCTTAACATATATTGCATTATTTGTTTCAGAAACCTCTAGTCTTCTTATCCAAGCCGGGATCAGCGGGGACTCAGAGTTATTGATACCTTTTTGGTTCCTTCTGGTCAGAAATTTGCAAATTCAAATGTCCACGGTGCCCAGATAATGCCAAAGAGTGCAGTGGGTTCAGTTGTAAGGATTCCGGTTGTCCAGCACTGTCATAGTTTTGAGTACAATAGAGGACACTTGATCTCAATATTAAGGAAACGAGGAGGCGTCGTAGGGACCACGGGACCCCAAAAAATACATGTCTCCTCTGAAGGAGGCACCCACTGTTCAACCTCAGGAAATTATTGCTGTGTAGGAATGGGGGCTGGTGTGGCCCATCTGTTAACTTTTTGAGGAAAGCCAGAAAGTCAGCATTTCTCAATTCATAAAATCTCTTGAAATCTCTCAATTTATAAATGTCGGTTCAAGTTTTGTGCAGGCCAAAGAAAACATTGCCGCAGGTCTGTGTCTTCAGGCCTTCACTAACAATATGATCAGAAGGAACTGAGGACATCTTGACTCTTCAGGTTCATTGCCAGCTCCAGGGCTAGGGGTTTCTCTGGTCTAGCCTTAGGTCTCCAGCATTAATTTGCTGTTCGGAGACAACTGCCATCCTCTCTCCTATGATCCCTGACATTGATTAGTTTCTTTGTGCCAGGCACTGTGTTCAGTAATTTACAAGCATCTTTTTCATTTAAGCCTCAACACAAACCTGTGAAGTAGTTGCTGTTAATTACTCCTTTATTTAAGAGAAAAGAAGCTCAAAGAAGCAGTTGCCTAAGGTTGCTAAGCTAGGACGTGATAGAGTAAGAACTCCATTCTAGGCAATCCAGTTTCGAGCTCTGATTCACTTACTCCGAGCTCTTACTCACCACATCACACTGTCCTCAGAGTCCTGGGACAACAGTAGCATTCACGTGTGGTCAGGGAAAAAGTAGGGTTGACCAAAGAGACAATGAGATTCTGGTTGATTTGGGGCTTGGAACGGTAGATACTTCCGCGAGTTTGGCTCACAGCTCTATCTTGTTCCCTATTCAGGAGGCAAATCATGCAGAATTAATGGAACGCGAGTCATCTCTCAGCAGGAATGCCCAAGAGGAGAAGCTGTCTTTACAGCAGGTGATCATGGATATAACCCAGGTACTGGTAAGCCTTCTGTTTGTGGAAACCGACTCATGGCTTACGCCTCTGCAGGCCTCAATGTCCTCTTAGTTGTGCCTAGATTTCCACACTCAGAGACGTTTGGGCTTAGGGTCTTTGAGGAATGAGTTCTCTGAGTGTGTCTGAAGACTGGCACCCTAAGGGATAGCTAAGCATTCACATGCTGGCCCCGCCTGCTGGAACAGGCCCTCTTCCTTATTGCCACCTGCAAGTCTCAGGCCAGTGGCTGGATTCTGGTCTCTGTTACGTCAGTATCCTCTCCTTTCTTCATTTCTTCATTTCTTCATTTATTATTATCTCAGAGAGTGCTCTAGCCTTGTTGCTAGTCCTAGGTTTGGGTGACCAAAGGTGAGGAGTTGGAGGACGCAATCCTTTTTGCTCTCAGATACCCTCCTCCCACCCGCAAGGGAGAGGATGTGAGAAGGAAAACATCACGTTTGCCCAGGATGTAGTGTTAGTCTTCCGTGTGGACTCTAGGCCTTGGTCAGTAGGGTAGCGACTCTGCTGTACTGGGTTTCAGGTCATGGTGGAAGAACGGGACAATATGGCCCAAGGCTGTGGTCAAGATTGCTCCTTGGAGTTGGACGCTCGTGGCTTCTCCTCGCAGTTTGATTCCCAGGACCCAGACAAGGCCCTTACTCTGGTGCGTTCAGTGGTGACTCGAAGACGCCAGGCTGTGCAGGTGAGGACCCCACCACTCCTCCTCAGCCACGGGTGTGGGTGTCTGAACTGATCTGTGCCCCAGGTACCCTCCTCTCCTGGACTGCCCCTTTCACTATGTTGACCAGTTATGAGGTGTTTGGTCAACACTCCCGAAGTGCTCATTAGAATCTCCATGTCTGCCCAGTTGTGCTTGTGGCTAATGGGCACACTCTGTGTGCCCAGTGGTACGCTTCACTTTGCATGCCATCTTCGTATAGCACTACACAAAGATAGGCAACCAGAGCCCTGGGAGACCATAGGTAAGTGTCCCCGACTCTGAGGGTCCCAGCCACACTTAACCATCTCCGTGACGGCCCCTTACCGCACATCTGAAGATGAGGGACCCTGAGACTCCAGGCACCACAGAAGTCCAGTAATCTCTGATCCTCTGTCTTCTCGACTGGCCACATCTCTGTTCTTCGCTCACCCTTGTGCCAGCCCTCAGCCCCGTCGCCCAGCCCCACTGTCAGGCTTCTGACACCCCTCCTTCACTCTGCCCTCTTGCTCACCATCTCACTTCTGTCACTCTCCCTCCACAGGACCTGAGGCAGCAGCTTTTGGGCTGTCAGGAAGCTGTGAGCTCCTTGCGGCAGCAGCATAATCAGTGGGAGGAGGAGGGCGAGGCCTTGAGACAGCGGCTGCAGAAGCTCACCGGGGAGCGTGACACTCTGGCAGGGCAGACCGTGGACCTCCAGGGAGAGGTGGAGTCTCTCAGCAAGTGAGCAGCGGGCTGTTCATCCCCCCCACCTCCTCCCCGGCTCAGTCCTCATCCAGCCATTTACCCACTCCCTGCACATTTCTGGTTGCCTAACCCTGCTGTCCCTGACACCCAGGGCTATCTTGCTTTGTGTTCTGCTTATTCCTGCTCACTCACTTTGGGGTCTTTTTGATGATTAAAAAACAACAACAGCAACAACAACAACAACAACAATAACAGAGCAGTTTCCTGCTCTAAAGGGAAGATGAGATTTTTAAAGGAAACAGACACCTCTCTCCTTTGATCCTGTGATGTCTGCTTCCAGGAAGGATTTGAGGCTCCAAGGTTTCTGCTCATCTGTGGTCTCCTTGTTCCAGGGAGCGAGAGCTCCTGCAGAAGGCCAGGGAGGAGCTGCGGCAGCAGCTGGAGGTGCTGGAGCAGGAGGCGTGGCGGCTGCGGAGGACAAACGTGGAGCTTCAGCTGCAGGGGGACTCTGCTCAGGGTGAGAAGGAGGAGCGGCAGGAAGAGCTACACCTGGCCATCCGTGAAAGGGAGCGCCTGTAAGTGGGCCCAGCCCCCTCCTCCCTGGGGCTTGGTTTTCCCTTCAATCCCACACCCTCCTCCACCCATTCCCAACTTGAAGAAAGTGGAGTAAATTGAAGCCTGGCGTGCAGTGGGTTCGCATTAGCTTCCTGCCCCTTCTTTCGCAGAAAGATGAATACAGGAGGTTCAGCCTGGCTTTTCTGAGCACTGCTAAGGGCTGAGACACCGCGGGGGTACAGAAACAAATAAGACACAGGCCCTGATCTCAAGCAGTTTGCAGTCTAATGGGGGAAACAGACAAACAGCAAACTGTGGCATGAGGCCAAGTGAAGTATGAGTGAAACAGAGCTTCCAGCTACGGCCTTTGGGAGCATGGGAGTAACAGTTAATAATTGAAAGTCTCATGGAGGAGAGAGGGTGGCCTTTGAGCTGGGCCTTGACATATTTTGATTGGTAGAGAGTGGAAGAGGGGCGAAAGGGGCAGATTAGCAAAGAAAAGGAGGTTCACGGCATGGTCAGAGTAGGCTAGGCTGGCTGAAGGGTAGGATTTATCCCAGGTGGTAATGGGAAATGAGTTGGTCAAGAAAGGGAATTTCAGAATCAAGAGACCTAGCGAATCTATGAATTCCTCTATATAATGTCATAGAAAAAGCAAGGACTTTTGAGCTGGCGAAAGCTTGGTTAAAATTATGGCTCCGCCACTTGGGCAGATTATTTTAGTTGTGAAATGGGGATGTTAGTATTTACCTTGAAGGATCACTGGGAAGGTTAGAGCGCTGTTTTGCAAAATGCTGGCATAGAGCCTGGCATGTGGTAGGTCTTCAGTAACTGGTAGCAGGGACTGTGTTCTTCACCTCTGGTAGATCCCCATCCTCTCCTGCGCTCTTGCTCCTTGCAGCCGGTAGGCACGAATAATGGAATCTTGGAGAACTGCTATAAGGATCATGACTCATGCAAGGAATGGTCTCCCCTGTACCAAGGAGAAGAATAGACAACCCACAAAGATAATTATATGTTTTTAAATTTAATTAGTGTGAATTGAGCACACATTTATCAATATTTATTATGATCTGAAAGTCAAAACTATTTAAAAAACTATTAAACTATTAACTATTTAAACTATTTAAAAAGACGAACACAGGGGTGCCTGGGTGGCTCAGTCGGTTAAAGCACCTTTTCAGCTCAGGTCATGATTTCAGGGTTGTGAGATCGGGCCTTGCGTCGGGCTCCGCGCTGGGCATTGGAGCCTGCTTAAGAGTCTCTCTGTCCCTCTCCTTCTGCTCCTCCCCTTCCTTCCTCTAAAAACTAAATAAATAAATAATAGACAAACACAGAGATCCTCCTCTCTGTTTCATCCATCCCATTTCCCTTCCTTCTGTAGGCAACCACTTAAATTGCTTTCTTTTTTTTTTTTAAGATTTTATTTATTTATTTGACAGAGAGATCGAGAGAGAGTACAAGTGGGCAGAGAGGCAGGCAGAGGGAGAGGGAGAAGCAGGCTCTCCGCTGAGCAGGGAGCCCGACGCGGGGCTCGATCCCAGGACCCTGGGACCACGACCTGAGCCGAAGGCAGCCGCTTAACCGACTGAGCCACCCAGCCGCCCCTTAAATTGCTTTCTTGTTTATCTTTCCAGCTGCTTCATGCAAATACATGCATATATTCTTTTTTATAACTAAATTTTATTTTTTTTATCTTAAGTGAGCTCCACCTCAACATGGGGCTTGAACTCATGACCCTGAGATTCAGAGTTTCATGCTCTACCGACAGAGCCAGCCAGGCACCCCTATGCATATTCTTATTTCTCCCAATGTCTGGCTTTTTTCACTTAGTATGTCGTGGAGGGTTGGTTGGTTTTTAGAGACCTTCTTCATTCTTTTGCATGGCAAAGGTCATCACACTCCTGTTACCTTTTGGAGTGTGGCCACTCCCTGAGATTGCCCCCAGCCTCCTCTCCTTCCTATCCTAGTCAGGAGTCACTGGCGGGCCTGGAAGCCAAACAGTCAGAATCGCTCAGTGAGCTGATCACTCTTCGGGAGGCCCTGGAGGCAAGTCGCCTGGAAGGAGAGCTGCTGAGGCAGGAGCAAACAGAAGTGACTGCGGCGCTGGCCAGGGTGCGTGGGCCTCCACCCCTCGCTTGCTGGGGGTGGGGAGGGGGCTTAGAAAGTTGTGTTTCTAGGCAAAGGGCATGCAGCCTGCTTCATTCTTCACCTTCCCAGCCACGACCCTTCGTATTCCCTGCATCACTTACTTGCCTCTGCTTTTGGCTCCTGTCCCTCCTAATGTACTCTCTACGTTGGGGTTAGAATGGTTTTCAAAAGTGTAAATCCGGTAACATTGGCCTCCTTCCTGTAACCATTCAGTGGCTTCCGAGCTGCTTGGGGACACGTTCAAAGCCCTTTGCATCTGCCCCAAACTGCTTCCAGCCTCCTCCTCTCTCCATATCCTGTGCTAACTCCCTATTCCACCTCAGCTCCTGCCACCCAGCACTGATTACATCCTCAGCTTCGCCCTGCTCTTTCATGACTCTGCTGCTTCTGGAGTCCTCCTCCCTTTGCCTGGACTGCGTCTTTCCTCTCCCTCTAAGCACAAATTCTTCCTCCTCTCTCAATACCCACCTTCATTGCCAGCTCTTCTACCAAGCACTTTTGATTCCCCCAAACTGAATAAACGCTTTCTTTGAGTTTCCAGAGCACTGGGTGCTTACATTGTCTACGAAGTCATTGCAGTTCTAGTTGTTTGTACATCCTGGTGTCTGTGCTTCTGTACTGTGAGCTCTGCTCCTACTTCTCGATGATTGAATGAGTGAATGAATGAGGGAAAACTTGTTTCGAATGTAAGGGAAGGCATGGTCTGATCTCTGTACCAGGACAGCAGCAGGTGCTGGGGACGTGAGCTGCTCACCGTGGCGAGGGAGCTGGCACAAGACAGTCCTTTAACTCTCTTTGTTTTTAGGCAGAACAGTCCGTTGCAGAGCTGTCGAGTTCTGAGAACAGCCTGAAGGCCGAGGTCGCCGATCTTCGGGCTGCCGCTGTCAAGCTCAGTGCCTTAAATGAGGCTTTGGCCTTAGATAAAGTTGGATTGAACGAGCAGCTTCTCCAGGTGAGCAAAGACTTCTCCGATCCACAGGGTAGGTCTGCGCCCTGACAGAAGGCAAGCCAGTGACTGATAAAGCTGATGCCTATGACAGGGGAGAGTCCGTAATAGATTAGCCCAAGACAGATCAGCTCCCACATATGGTCCTGAAATGAGCAAAAGGAACATTGGTGGTGCAGAGGACAGCCAAGACTATAAGGCCTGAGCTTAGCCATTAAAAATAGTCCCGTTTTGGGCGCCTGGGTGGCTCAGTTCGTTAAGCGACTGCCTTCGGCTCAGGTCATGATCCTGGAGTCCCAGGATCGAGTCCCGCATCGGGCTCCCTGCTCGGCAGGGAGTCTGCTTCTCCCTCTGACCCTCCTCCCTCTCATGCTCTCTGTCTCTCATTCTCTCTCTCTCAAATAAATAAATAAAATCTTTAAAAAAAAAAAAAATAGTCCTGTTTCACACCTCCGGCAGAACCACCTTTGGGCTGTAGAGTAAAATCACCAGGGCCCGTGTCCTCTGGAAGGAAGACTAGGTGTTTAATCCCATTGCATGAGATAACAGCAATCCCCAGAAAAGGATCTGCTGAAGAGCCTACATCTCAAAGAATCTTCTCTAGAGGTTGCAAATTAACATGTCTCTTCACTACTCCTGTTACCTTGAGCCCTAGAAATGTTTCAGATTCCCTTTATTCTGAATTCTGAGAGTAGGGTTTTTGCCTTTTTAATCACCATGCCCAGCATCAACCCATCCAGTACCTAGAATACAACAGGCACCAGAGCAAATGAACGCATGGTCCCCCTCTTGTATAAGGCCCTCCTGTGTTCCTCTTTGGAGAATAGAGTCACATCTCACTTGGATTTCTGTCTTAGCACTTGATCCATAAACTGTAACCATTTGTCCTTGATGCCTTTCCCATTTTGACCAGTAGTTAGAACAGGAGAACCAGTGTGTGTGCAGCAGAATGGAAGCAGCAGAGCAAGCGGGAAACGCTTTGCAGCTGGGCCTGGCAGAGGCCGAGAGGAGCAGGGAAGCCCTTCAGGAACGGAACATTCACCTGGAGGCTCAGCTGCAGAAGGCGGAGGAGAGCGGGGCTGAGCTGCAGGCCGATCTCAGGGGCATCCAAGAAGAGAAGGAAGAAATTCAAGAGAAACTAAGTGAGGTGAGAAGACAAAACTGATTCCATCACACTAAGGTATCGAACGTACTCATCATAAAAAATGAGAACTCTAGGGGCGCCTGGGTGACTCAGTCATTAAGCGTGTGCCTTCGGCTCAGGTCATGGTCCCATGGTCCTGGGATCAAGCCCCGCATTGGGCTCCCTGCTCCACAGGAAGCCTGCTTCTCCCTCTCCCACTTCCCCTGCTTGTGTTCCTGCTCTCACTGTGTCTTTCTCTGTCAAATAAATAAATAAAATCTTTAAAAAAATAAAAAATAAAAAAAAAAGAAGGGTCAGAGAGAGAGGGAGAGAGACACTTAAGCAGACTCCATACTGAGCCCGGAGCCAATGTGGGGCTCAGTCTCACAACCCTGAGATCATGACCTGAGGCGAAACCAAGAGTCAGACACTTAACCGACTGAGCCACCCAGGCGCCCCTATTCCTCCATCTTTTACCAAAATGTCTAACACATAGCAACGACTCAGTAAATTTTTTTCTGAACCAGTGACTCAGCTCAAAGGTCATCTTTCTCCTCTACCAAACTTCTCCCTGCCCTAAAAATGATAATCTTCCTTCCCAGAGTCCCTTTCTCAGAGACTGATCAGTTTCTTCCTGATGTTTTGTGTGTCTTACTACTTAGGACTAAAAGCTCCTTAGAGGTAGTTCTCTTGCAGCCCTAACACACAGGGTCTTGCACAAAGGAGAGCATGCTTCCTGGGCTGGAAGTTCTATAGGTTGATGCAGGAAGTAGTATTTGTATGAGCAAGCAATCATCAGGACTCACAGAGCTGGGTCCAGAACCTCTGAAGGGCCAGTGGCCCTAACCTGGTGATAGCAACCCAGGGGAGATCCTGCCTCTGCTCTGTATCTTGCTGATTTCTTCCTCTCAGGCACGTCATCAGCAGGAGGCAGCCTTAGCTCAGCTGGAGCAGCTGCATCAGGAGACAAAGCGACAGGAAGAAGTGCTTGCCCGGGAAGTCCAGGAGAAGGAGGCCCTAGTACGGGAGAGAGCAGCCCTTGAGGTGCGGCTGCAGGCTGTGGAGCGAGACCGGCAGGACCTCTCTGAACAACTACTGGGGCTCAGGTAGGGCCCAGACCCAGTTCGGCCAAGGGCAGAGGGAGCATTGTGAGGCAAGGGGTAGCCAAACTGAGTTCCCTGCCCAAAGTATATGGGTCCTAAATGAGTTATGAGTGTATAATTGCCCCCTAATTTCTCTGAGTAGTCAGTACTTAGAACCCAACTCCTCTTAAGGAAAGTTAAGGGGCTTGATGGGTAAGAACTCTTCCTGATTCCTAAACCTGACAGTTCAGCCAAGGAGCAACTGGAGAGCAGTCTGTTTGAGGCCCAACAACAAAATTCTCTGATAGAGGTCACCAAGGGGCAGCTGGAGGTCCAGATTCAAACGGTCACTCGCGCCAAGGAAGTCATTCAAGGTGAGACCCCAACTGGGATGGGGACACTTCATTCCATGGGGATGTGGAAAGCTAGGAAGGCAGTGGGAAGTTATCTGAGGTCCTTCCCTAGCCAGGCCCAGGGCCTCCGCAATGGGAGTTGTTCCTGAGATCTGGGGAGAGGGGTGAAAGGAGGAGGGCAGAGGCCTAGTGCGAGATCACCTGTGTCTGGCATCTCAGGGGAAGTGAGGTGCCTGAAGCTGGAACTGGACACCGAGCGGAGCCGGGCAGAGCAGGAGCGGGAGACAGCATCCAGTCGGCTGGCCCAGGCTGAGCAAGAGGGGCAGACTGCCCTGCAGCAGCAGAAGTCCGCCCATGAGGAGGAGGTGAACCGGCTCCAGGAGAAATGGGTGGGTCATGGATGTGGCTGGGGACAGGAGAGGCAGACATGGCCTCCCTCCCGTGAGTACTCCACCTGCTGACTCTTGGGCCAGATATTGCTGCTTTTAAGAGTGAAATCTGAATAGGACTAACCTAGTCACCAAGATGCAAAAATCCAGTTTCTAGCTGTAAATGAGTAATATATGGAGAACCCTGAGAACAATTTCTGACATAGAGCAAGCTCTATATTTGTGTTAGCTGTTATTGTTGTTGTTTTGCTATGTACAGAGAATTAAGCATGGATTCTGGGATTTAGGATTGTTAAACTGGCTGGCCCCAGGATGTAAAGGGAGCAGAGGAATGCCTCGGACCCCTTCTTGCCCAATTCAGAACTGTATTTCTTTTGTCTTTTAATTATATAATTTAGTCCATTTGCTTTGATTGTCACTATAGGTATATTTGGATCCTTTGCTATTTTTCCTGCCTTTTTATATCTTTTTGGGATGGGGAAGTCACCTTTCTTAACTTCTTTTAGAGAGTTCAATTGGATGATTAAGTTGTAGTCTTTTCTCAGTCCTTTTTTTCTATTACTTTGGATCGTATATTCTCTAATTTAAAATTTTTTTTAGTTGTTCCTTTTAATATTTAAAAATATGTACTTAAGGGGCGCATGGATGGCTCAGTTCCCAGGGTCCTGGGATCGAGCTCCGTGTCGGGCTCCTTGCTCTGTGGGAAGCCTGCTTCTCCCTCTCTGCCTGCCACTCCCCCTGCTTGTGTGCTCTCTCTTTCTCTGTCAAATAAATAAAATCTTTACAAAAAAATACGTACTTAATAAAATCTCAAGTTAATCGGTATGTTTACCATTTTCCTGAATGACACAGGGACCTCAGAACATTTTACCTACATTCGCTCCTCCTGACCCATATACTCTTTTATGCAATGTGTTTTAACTAGTTTGTTAACACCATAAATTATTTTGACTTTTTGTTTTATACAGTCAATATTTGTTTAGATACACTGAAAAAATGACGTTTTTTTACACTCATCATTCCTCCTTGCATATCAGACTTTCTATTTAGATTTATTTTCCTCCTTGAAATAGAATTTCTTTGGTGAGGGTCTGTTGGTAGTTCATTGTCTGAAAACATTCCATTTTACTTTTATTCTTGAAGGATAGTTTCACTGGGTATAAAATTTAGGATTATTGTTATTTTCTCTTAACATATTGATTATTCATTTGTTGGTATCAAGAAGACCCTGATTAGTTGTGTGTCAGACCTTACGGTAACCTCCGTGTATCTTAACTCTTACATTTTTCATGTTCATTTTTCTTTTTCTATATTGTGTTGTAGATGATTTTTTCAGATCTCTTCTCACTAACTCACCTTTCAGCCATGTCTAATCTGCTATGTAGTCTTTTTGCCAAGTTTTAAATTTCACTTACTAAATTTTTTTTCTATTTCTAGACATTCTATTTGGTTATTTTTTCAAATCTTCTTGGTCATGTTTTAATTTCTTTTCCCTATTTTATATCTTCATCCTCTCTTTTATTCTTTCAACACATGAAACATTTTTATGCTGTCTAATAATACCAATAACTAAAATCTTTTTGGGCCTGACTCTGTTATATGTTGTTTCCATTGGTTCTCACTCATGTGTTTTGTGATTCTTGACTCTGAGCTCATGTTCCTTAGAAATTTTTCTAAGGCCTAAGAACTTTTCATTTTCTAAGGCCTCAGAATCCTTTTAGGCCTAAGGTGAAGGAGTTTTTCTTCAGAAGATTTGCTTGCATTTCTGTTAGGAATTTCCTAGAATAAGAGGAGGACACTGTTGTTATCCCCATTTTTATAGATGAGGAAACTGAGGCATAGAAATATGATAGAAATTAACTCAGGTCACTTACACTAGTAGTGTTGGATTAAAGGTTCTAGCATCCCAGAACTACCTTAAAATAAAATTTTAAAATAAAATGAAGTAAAATTTCTGTTGGAAGTGTTTGGGGTACATTTAGGCCCTGCACCCACATGAAGACCAGGTTGTGGTTGACCTCTTTTTTTTTTTTTTTTAAAGATTTTATTTATTTATTCATGAGAGAGAGAGAGGCAGAGGGAGAAGCAGGCTCCCAAGGAGCAGGGAGCCCGATGCGGGACTCGATCCCAGGACCCTGAGATCATGACCTGAGCCGAAGGCAGACGCTTAACTGTCTGAGCCACCCAGGCACCCTGTGGTTGACTTCTTGAGGGAGATTTTTTTTTTTTTTTTACTCTGTGCCAAGGTTGAAACAAACAAATGTTCTTGCTGTTTCCTTCTGTGGGGTTTATTGTTTTGTTTTCTCTCCTACTTTCTCTCCTTTTTTCTTCCCCATTTCTCTCCTCTTTCATCTCTCTCTCTCTCAAGTTTATCCTTCTACTGAGAGCACTATAGCCCAGAGATAGGCAAGTTTTTTGTAAAGGGCCCCGTGCTAGGCTTTGTGGACCTTATGGTCTCTGCTGTTGTACAAAAGCAGCCGTAGACAATATATAAGCAAATGAGCATGTTTGTGTTCAAATAAAACTTTAAGTGTGGACACTGAAACTTGAATTCCATATAATTTTCACATGTCACAAAGTCTTTTTTTTTTTTTTCCACTTCTTTTTAACCATTAAAAATGTAAAAACCACTATTAGCTCACAGGCCATGCAGCAACAGGAGGCTGGCCAGATTTGGCCCACATGCCATAGTTTGTTGACCCATGGTTAGCCCTTCGGGGATCCAGCTTTATGTGGGAATCTTCTACTGGACTCCCCACCCTTGTCTTCTGTTTTCTTTTCCCCACGTAGCATTAAGGTGAATTTTCAAGGTTATTAGGTATAGCAGATGCCTGCAGGAGAAACCCAGTTCTGTGCTCATTTACCTCTTTGGGTCACAAGTCTTGCTTTGATTTTTAACTCCTGTGAAATTCCTGCTGGCTCACTTATACATTAAAACATATATTTAATATTTTATCCAGTATTTTTTGCCATTTTGCAGCCAGAGGGTTCAGAGATCTTGTTTGTCAAGTTTCTAGAAATGGAAGTTGACTTGTGCCTTGTGCGTATTTGTGATTTGACTCTTTATTACAAGGCAGACTTGGTGGAAAGATGGCAGCCGGAAGTTTGCTTGTTTGGGAATTATGTGCCTGAAGTAGGGGAGAATGGGCAGCAGAGAACCAATCTGCTTCCTCAGTTCATAGTTATAACATCAACTGTGGTGTGATTGATTTAAAATAACAGATATTTGTAACTTACATTAGGGAGAATTGCACTTGAGAAAAGACTTTTTAATGTATCATTTGATTTTTTTTTTATAAATCTCATTTGATTCTCATGACATTTGATGAGATAGGTAAGGCAGAAGTTAGCAACCTCACTTTATCGATGGGGAGACAGGCCAAGAGAGGTACCAAAGACTCAGATGGGCAGTGTGGACCTTCTCTGCTCCAGCCCCTCTCCTGCCTCTTCTCCTCACCCACCGGGTTCTAACAGTGCTTCCTTCACGTGACCAGGAGAAGGAGCGCTCCTGGCACCAGCAGGAACTGGACAAGGCCCTGGAGAGCCTAAAGAGGGAGAAAACAGAGCTGGAAATGAGGCTGCGGGAACAGCGGGCAGAAGCCGAGGCCATCCGGACGCAGAGGGAGGAAGAACGGGCGGAGGCGGAGAGCGCCCTCTGCCAGGTGGGAAGCTGGGGAGATTGGAGCTGTGACTCCCTGTACCTCTGACCACTTCCTTTTCCACTCCCAGGGGTGCTGCTGCAGGGGGCTTCCAGAAGAGAAGTGCCTGCTCCCTTTGCTGCTAGTGAACAGGGTGGCCCCCGCGTTAGCTGCAGGGCAGACAGCATGTCACACTTCCTGAGGGAGGGCCGGTGCTCGCCACATCCTGTCAGCTCACAAACCAGGGACAATCTTGGCACTTCCTGGTTCTTAACAAGCAGGTCCAGACCTTCTTTGGCCCTCACCACCCTCCCCATTTGCTGGAGGAGCCCAGAGCAGCTAGAATGTGTTTGCGGCCTAGTGGGTGAGCGTGGTGACCCCGGAGGCAGCAAGCCCTTGCCTCCCTGCCCCTCCACAGATGCAGCTCGAAACAGAGAAGGAGAGGGTGTCCCTCCTGGAGACGCTGCTGCAGACCCAGAAGGAGCTGGCAGATGCCAGCCAACAGCTGGAGCGGCTGAGGCAGGACATGAAGGTTCAGAAGTTAAAGGAGCAGGTATGGAGGGCGGTCCCGGGCAGGGAGGAAGGGTGGCGTGACCAGCCCTCTGGTGCTTCTGTGCACCAGGTTCTGGGCGAGGTGCCACGCCAGGACAAACATCAAGGTGTGCACAGCAGGGAACGTGACACCCGTGGTCCCTGTCCTCAGAGAGCCTGCGTTCTAGTGGCAGAGCAGACGAAAACACGCAGATAGAGAATACATGAGCTAATCGCAGGTGGTAAGAGGTGCTGTGAGGGAGATGGGTAGGGTGAAGTAATCGAGAGTGAGTCACAGGAGGCCACTTTGAACAAGGTGGTCGGGGGTGGGGCTCACTGAGAAAGTGACATTTGGGCCGAGACATGAAGGTTGACGAGCCAGCTGCAGGCAGCAGTAGAGATGAGCTCTGACAGCATTATGCTTCAACGGGTGAGTTGTGTGATACTTGAACTGTATCTCAGTAAAGCCCTTTTATTTTTATTTTTTTAAGATGTATTTGAGAGAGAGAGAGAGCATGAGCGGGGGGTGGGGGGCAGAGGGAGAAAGAGAAGCAGACTCCTCACTGAGCGGGGAGCCCGATGTGGGGCTGGATCCTAGGACCCTGGGATCATGACCTGAGCCAAAGGCAGATGTTTAACCAACTGAGCCTCCCAGGTGCCCCTTAGGAAAGCCCTTTAAAAAAAAAAAAAAGAAGCCAACTATTTGAAGAACAGTTTCAGCAGGGGAAATAGCCATCATAAGGGCAGTGGGACAGACAGAAGGGTCTCGGGGAGTGCCAGGACAGAAAGGAGGCTACATGGCTCCAGCGTGATAGGCTCAGGGGCGAGTGGAGAGGGATGCAGGAGCCCAGGAGCCCTTGGTCAGCCATGGGAGGAGCTTGGAATTTGTTCTAAGGGCATTGGGAAGCTGTTGGATGGTATTTAAAAAGCAGAGTGGGACATGATTTACTACATGTATTTTAAAAAATACTTTAGCTGCTGAGTGGAGAAGTGTGTGTGTTGGGGGGGCATGCGTGCAGGGGCTGGTGGCATGGAGTGGGAATAGGGATACGCAATGGGAGCCTGCTGTAGTGGTCTGGGTGAGGGACTGCTACTCAGGGGCCCTGATGGAGAGAGCCGGGGTGAGCCAGCAGGCTTTGTGAGGGAGGAGATGGAATAGGAGGTGAGGGTTGAGGTGGCATCGTGGAAACGGGGTGGATTGCTGGGTCCTGCCTCAGCTTTTGCCGCCAACCCAGTTGAAAAGCCAGTATTTACATGACAGAGACTTTAAGATGCAGGCCCTAATGGGAGCTTTCTTCTGCTCACTGTGGTCTTCTCCCTTTGCAGGAGACCACTGAGATGCTGCAGACCCGGCTCCGGGAAGCTCGGCGGGAGCTGGAGCAGGCAGGCCAGCGGAACAGAGACGCCCTTGCTGCCCTCCAAGAAGAGTGCAGGGCCCTGCAGCAGGCTAAGATGGACCTGCAGGAGCAGGTGCCTCCTTCTCTCTCCCAGCCCTGTAGCCCTCCCCGCAGCATAGCCAGGCTCTCCCGCTCCTTCCGTAGGAAAGGGGAGCCCTGGCCCTGCTTGGGAAGGAGAGGAAAACGGAAGGGTGGTTAGAGTAGAGCACATGCCCTTGGAGCCCCGGGATAGTTATCTCTCCCTGTGTGACCACAGAACTTAGATTTTTCTTAGGCAGCCCCAGTGCCCATCATTCTTCCCACCCTCCCCAGAGATCCAGTATTTTTTTTTTTTTAAGATTTTATTTATTTATTTCAGAGAGAGAGAATGAGAGAGAGCACATGAGAGGGGGGAGGGCCAGAGGGAGAAGCAGACTCCCTGCCGAGCAGGGAGCCCGATGCGGGACTCGATCCCGGGACTCCAGGATCATGACCTGAGCCGAAGGCAGTCGCTTACCCAACTGAGCCACCCAGGGCCCGAGATCCAGTATTTTAATATACCAGGTTGCTTTTCCTACTCTCATTGCTTTTCCTTCTCAGAATCCCATATCAGCTGGTGTTCTGATTGGTTTTTTTTTAAGATTTTATTTATTTATTTGACAGAAAGAGAGAGCACAAGCAGGGGGAGCAGCAGGCAAAGGGAAAAGCAGGCTCCCCACTGAGCAGGGAACCCAATGCGGGGCTCGATCCCAGGACCCTAGGATCATGACCTGAGCTGAACACAGACGTTCGACCGACTGAGCCCCCCAGGCGCCCCTCTGATTGTTTATTTTAAAAAATACAATTACTATCCACTTGCCCATCACTTATCACTTTGCCTTTGGGTGGTTATATTCAGCCAAGATTTTGATTTGTGCCTGCCTTTACCCAGCAGGCGTGAGACTGGGAGACAAGGGTGAGGCTGAATGGTACTGGGGACGGGGTGCTAAGAATAGTGTGTAAGCGTTGGCGGAAACCCCCGGAGCATTGGAAATGGGCCAGTGACTGGGACCTCAAAGGACCCTGGAGCCCTGGGTGAGAAGCCTCCCCGCCACGGGCCCCCTGTCCTTGACCCTCGTGCGTTATCTTTCCAGGTGGAGGACTTGAAGTCTCAGCTGGTTTCCAGGGATGAATCCAGGAGGCTGGTGGAGCAGGAGGTTCAGGAGAAGCTGAGGGAGGCCCAGGAGTATAGCCGAATGCAGAAGGAGCTGGAGAGAGAGAAAGCCAGGTAGGCTGGACAGGCCGTGGAGTAGGCTTTTGCCTGTCTAGCTACTGTGGTCACTGTGAGGTGGACAATTCTTTGCTCAGGTAACCAAGCCTCTCATGTCTCCAGCCCTGGACAGTACAGGTGGCTGTGTGGAGAGGATGTGGTCCCCATAGCTTACACTTCATCCATGTAGTATATAAATACTTAGAGAACACATGTTAGGCACCAGGCAGTATGCCAGGGGTTGGGGATGGCCCCCCCACCTTGGCAGAACTTATGGTTTTGTGGGGAAGACATTAATTAAGTAATCCCCCAGAGAAATCATTGCAGGTTATGTTACATGATGTGGAGGGAAGAAACAGGATGCTGAAGTCAAAATGCAGAGTGGGGTTGTACTTTATTTTTGTTTATTTTTTTTAAAGATTTTATTCATTTGTCAGAGAGAGAGGAAGAGAGAGAGCACAAGCAGGGGGAGGGGCAGAGGGAGAAGCAGGCTCCCCGCTGAGCAAGGAGCCCGATGCAGGACTCGATCCCAGGACTCTGGGATCATGACCTGAGCCAAAGGCAGATACTTAACTGACTGAGCCACCCAGGCATCCCATGGGGTTGTACTTTAGGTAAGATTTTAGGAAAGGCCTTTCTCAAGGAGGTTGCATTTAAACTGATCACTGAAGATGAACTGGAACCAGCCAGGCAAAGGGGTGAGGGAGAGCTCTGTGGCAGGAGCAGGAATCTCAGTGGGCCAGAGGCGGATCAGAACTCAGGGTATTTGGGGACACTGGAAGCACTGTGTGACCAGAGCCTGGTGAATGAGGACGGGTGTGTGACCTGGGCAAGTCTGTGTCATTCAGGGTTTGTGGGGCACGGCCAGGAGTACGTAGTTTAGTTTAGGTTTAGTAGGAAACCACTGGAGGGTTTTAAGCAGGGAAATTGACACGATCCAGTTTATGATGTAGCAGAAGAGGTAGTGATGGGCAAGAAACCTCAGGAGTGAGATACGGCCATCCAGGTGAGGCATGGCGTGTCTTCTCAGTGATGTAAGAGCTTAAAGAGGGACAGATCCTCTTGTTGATGCAACCATAGGCAGCAAGACATGTTAGGAGGTGGGTGCAGTTGTCTGCCTGAGAAATACTAAGGCTGCACCAGGGTAGGGGGAGGAGGGAAGGAGCTCAAGGGACGTTGAAAGAGTTGGAGTCTATTATATATGTCATCACTGATTGGACATAGGTGGGGTAAAGGGAGAACTCTGTGATGTGGTCAAGGCTGCCAAGTTGGAGCACTGGGTGGATAAGGGTGCCGTTCGCTGAGCTAGGGAGCATAGTAGTGATGGCTGGGGGGAGGGAGGAGCAGAAGGGATGGGAAGCATTGGACACGTTGAATTTGAGATATTGCATACGTATTTCTGGAATCTGCCAGAGAAGAAGAAACTGAAGCTGAAAGGAGGTATCACGTGCATGAAGTACCTGGGAGCACTTTCATTGTTACGCTGTCATGTTATTTTACTATTTCTCTCTTAAGTATTAATGCAGTGTTTAGCATGAGAAAGTAGTTCTTCATTCCCTGAGAGAATGACCTTAGCCCTCTGGCCTCTCTTTAGCCTGACTCAGTCGCTGATGGAAAAGGAAGAGAGGCTCCTTGTTTTACAAGAAGCTGACTCTGTTCGACAACAAGAGCTGAGCTCCCTGCGCCGGGACATGCAGGAGGCCCAGGGAGGGCAGAAGGAGCTCAGTGCCCAGGTACTCCCCGCGCCGCTCATGGGCCCCGTTCCTCGGTGGAAGCCTGCTCCTGGAGTGGAGAAGCCAGTTGCTCAGGATCCTCCCGTAAAGAGGACCGTTCTCTTACTGCGTATTATAGGGTGTGCTGGGGCTTCCGCAGCCCTGGCAGGAGGCGCAAGTCAGAACTGGGTGGGGTGGGGGCTTGGGAACCTGACCCAGAGTTGAGAACAGCCCCTGTGAGGGGCCTGACAGCCCAGAACATGGTGCCTAGAGGGGCGGAGCTCACACGGGCCTGGGTCAAGCATGGCCACGTCTAAGTGTGCTTGGTCAGCCTGGCAAGACACAGCAGCGGGACAGGTCATTACACAGATCAGGTAGGCAGCAGCTAGAAAACTTCAGGGCCCCGTCTGCTCACAGCAGGACCCCAGACCTTGGGCACAGAGGAAAGCCGGAATTGGGAGGGGCAGAGAGAGCCGGTCAGAGCTGGAAGGGAGACTAGCGTGGAGAAGGACCAGGTGCAGTCATTAGACAGTGCTGGATTTGGCTCCCAGCAATCCCGCTTCCAGGTTGCGTGAGCATCAGTTTCTTCATCCATAAGACAAGGATGAGAGTTCTTAGCCATTATAGGAACATATAAAGCGCCAGAACACAGCGGGTATTCTCTATATGGTAGCCATTATCGTGACGGGTCTTACGCAGGCTCAGTGTCAGGGTTTCGATTTCTGAGTTCGAGTTCTGATGGAAGCAGGGGGCTGGCATTGCTGCCAGGGGGACTAGGGCTACAGCCCATTTGCATCTCCTAGGCCCACGTGACAGGAGTCAGTTGGTGGGCATGCAGGTCAGATTGAGGGTACCACTCCTTCCAGAGCCCTCCTTTCTTTTTTAAAGATTTTATTTATTTGACAGAGACACAGTGAGAGAGGGAACACAAGCAGGGGGGGTGGGAGAGGGAGAAGCAGGCCTCCCGCTGAGCAGGGAGCCCGATGTGGGGCTCGATCCCGGGACCCTGGGACCATGACCTGAGCCGAAGGCAGACGACCAACGACTAAGCCACCCAGGTGCCCCCTTCCAGAGCCCTCCTTACCCGCTAGAGAGCTGAGCCTCCCGGCCCTGATCAAGATGGGCCCAGGGCTTGATTGGGGTGAGGCCGGGGAGGGTCCAATGAGAAGGTGTCCACTCCCGGCTCGGAATGACAACACCACCTTCCCGGCAGGTGGAGGTCCTGAAGCAGGAGGTGAAGGAGAAGGAGACTGACTTTCTGGCTCAGGAAGCACAGCTGCTGGAGGAGCTGGAGGCGTCTCGAGTAACAGAGCAGGAGCTGCAAGCTTCCCTGCGGGCCCTGGAAGCCAGGGCAGCCCAAGTCCAGCTCCGACTGCACAGCACAGAGAAGCAGCTAGAGGCGCTGGTGGCAGAGCGGCGGTCTGGGCACCAGGCCCAGGCCCAGCTGGCCAGCCTCTGTTCTGTCCTGCAGCAGGCCTTGGGGTTCGCTTGGGACAGCCAGCCTGAGCTGCGCGGCGGGGGAGACTCTGCTTCCCTCTGGGGCCCTGAGCCAGGTACGGCAGCCACCCATGAACTCAGGCCTTTGGGCCGAAGCCAGGCCTGGCTCCCTTGGGGGGAGAAGGCGGGGGCCTGCGGGGACTAGGGATTATTGCCTCAAGGCTAAGGCCACAGACCCTGGAATTAATTCAGTCCTCTCTGAGCTTGATTTTTTGTTCTTAGAAAGAAAGAGCGTGCATGCACAAGCAGGGGAAGGGCAGAGAGAAAGGGAGAGAGAATCTTAAGCAGACTCCCCACTGAGCGCGGAGCCCGACATGGGGCTCGATCTCATGACCCTGAGATCACGCCCTGAGCTGAAATCAAGAGCGAGACACTTAACTAACTGAGCCACCCAGGTGCCTCATCTCTCAGGATTTTTCTAAGGAATTAATGAGATTACCTAAGTAAAATAGGTCACACAGTTCCTGGCATTTACTAAATGCCTAACAAATGATGCTAGTATTACCTAATGCCCGCCATAGCTCCTGGCACATAGGAATGCAGAAAGTTCATGACGAATGAACTGCTCAGAAGGGGTTCTTTGGGGAGAGGAGGGATCCGTGGGAAGGCCAAGGCCATATCTGGGGAGGTTTGGCTATTTCCTTTCATAGTGCAGCCAAGTGAGGAGGTGTTTCCTCATTTTTTCAGACCAGAATGGAGCTAGGCTCCTCCTTAAGAAAGGGCCCCTCCTGACAGCCCTGTCAGCTGAGGCGGTGGCATCTGCCCTCCAGAAGCTTCACCAAGACCTGTGGAAGACTCAGCAGGCCCGGGTACAATGCTCCGCTCTCCTTCCTTGAACTCTTCACTCCCCAGAAGAGGACTCATGAAGCAGTTTGAGCCGTTTTATTCCCAAGTTGGGATGAGTTCCATCCCCATCCTTTCCTACCTGGGCAAGCATGAGCACAGCATTTGGTTTCTTAGGCCTGTGTTTCACTAGTCAACTGAGGCAAACCATGCCTGCCTTGGGGTTGTGAGGATTGAGTGGGTGAAGGATTCGAGTGGGCTCTGAACTACAGAAGCCTGCACAGATGGGGGATATTGTTTTGTACCATTTTCCTCTCAGCTGCGAATTACTTATCCTTGGTGCCAATACCTCCAAGAACAACCCGACAAACAGGGACCACTGAGATGTGAGGTTGCCATTTATAGGAACATTCCAGGCCTAAGACTGAGATAAATATCCCATAAATTCCACCTCTCGGTGTACCTATCATTCAGTAAAAATTGAACACCACCTCTATGCCAGCCACTGTGAGCTGATGGTACAGAAGGGAGAAAGACCAGATCTCCACCCTCGAGAAGGCTGAGGAAAGAAACTGCATTCTAAAATAAGCAGAATTGATAGAATTAATTGGATCAGTAACAGATGCAACTGATGATAATAGAAGGAAGGGACAATTCATTCCTCCTTGGGGAGGGTCACAGGGGAGGAAGAAGGGACCTTTGAGTTGATCTTTGAAGTAGGAGTTTGGGCAGAGGAGAGGTGACCCCGGGCTAAGACTCCAGCAAGTCGTGTTTCAAAAGGCATACAGGGGTCAGACAGGGATTCTAGGCTCCAGTCAGTTGGAGCAGAGCGTGTCATGGTTCTGGGGAGTGATCTGGGAGTAGATCCGCAGGGACAGACCCCACAGAGGCTGAGAGGAAGTGGGAGGGGTGGCGCTTGGGTCTGGGGCCGGGATAGCTTTGTGGAAGATGAGGAGGTTGGAGTTTAGCCTCACCCTTCCTTTCCCAGGACGACCTGAGTGAGCAGGCTCTGAAGCTGGAACAGCGTCTCGCTGATGCAGAGGCCGAAAAAAGTCAGGTCTGCACAGAATTGCAGGATTTGCAGAGACAGCTCTCCCAGAACCAGGAAGGTGAGAAGCGCAAGGCAGGTAGGGAGATTGGAGGGAAGAGAGAGGAGAGGCCGGAAGCCCAGAAGGGGCAGCCACTCTTCACTGCTCACTCCCAACTATAGGTAGCTACCTAGAGACCTCTCCAAAGGGGTGATGACCCCTGTGAACTGTTTTTCTGCTTTGCTTGGCCTTTGAGGGCCATCCTAGAAGAAGGAATTCAGGGGGACAGAGTGGGTGAACTGAGAGAAGTTCCTGCCTAGGCTTCCCCCTTCTCTGTCTGTGTATTTAAAAACTGGCAATCTAGGGCCAGGACTGTGAGAATGTTATAAAATTCTGTGTCTTTTGTCATTTATCCATGTTACTTATTTTTGTCATCTCCAGCTATGTTGTCAAAATTATTCACCTTCAACAGCAGAAGGATCATGGGCTTGTCTGGGAGACAGCAAAGTGGGGGGACCTGGGGAGAATGCCCGCCCCGCCACAGCTAAGGGCATGGGTGGTGACTACTTGCAAAAGAAAGGAGAGGGCGGGTCTTGGAGGCCAAGGCTCTGTGGTAGAAGAGAAGAGGACAACTTGGGGAGGGGGATCTGGGTCTTGAAAGTACCCCAGAGGGCTCCCTGAGAGCCACACGCACAGAGCTGGGTTCTGGTGCATTTTGCAGAAATGGGGGGCAGCCAGCAGAGCAACAGTGGTCTCTGGGAACCTCTGTAAGCCATAGAATTAGAGACTAGAAAGGCCCTCCAGTGTCATCTGGCTCCCCCCGGTCGGGAATCCAGGGTTGGAGATCTCCACGTAGTCAGGATGGGGCAGTGTTGGGAGGACAGTTAGGCAAGTGCTAGCACCGGGCGGCGGCTCCGGACGGGAGTGTGGGAGTCGCAGGAGCCCCGACAACCAGGAATAGTTGGCAGATGGGTGGCGTGGCTGTGAGACTGGATATAATTCTCTCCTTCCTGGCCTTCTTCCCCTTTGATTCTGTTCCTCACCCTCCATCTGCCTCCATGTCCCTCTTTTCCTCCGCCCTCCACCCTGGGCCTTGCTCTGCCACCTCCCCTGTTCCCAAAGAGAAATGCAAGTGGGAAGGAAAGCAGAACTCGCTGGAATCCGAGCTGACGGAGCTGCACGAAGCTGTGGCATCATTGCAGGGTCGTCTGCGGCAAGCAGAGCTGCAGGGACTGGAGACCCAGGTGAGGTGGCCCTGCTCCGGGGCAGGAGGAGGAGGCCTCAGGGCCCAGGCTGTAACTCCAAAGCCACCTGGGCCTGTGGTCATACCCCATCCACGGGTAGTGCCCAACATCCTTCAGCAAGGGGCTGTTTCCCCGGCTGTCTCGCTGTCCTTGAGGGCCATTAGGAAGGCCCCAGCGAGTTTTCCTGAAGGGAGGCAGAAAAGTTTGTCCCTTGCCCTGAAGGACCGGAGTCTGGGATTTCTCATTTGTCTCAGGCTTTCTCCTCTGGGCCCTAGTGGAGCCGTGGAACGCGGTAGGGACGATCTTTCACTGGATCAGCTTAAGTGGAAGGAACCAGTTCTCTTTGTCCCTCCTTGACGGGGCTGGGGCTACCGGAGGGCCTGCACTGGGGTGATAGTATCCGGGAAGTGTAGCCTAAGGTGGTTTTTCGTCTTCTTTTCCAGAAGGAGCGAGGGCTCCTGCAGGCAGCCAAGGAGAACCTGACAGCACAGGTGGAACGTCTGCAGGCATCTGTGGTGGAAGCCAGGGCTCAGGCCAATGCTGCCGGGGCTCTGGAGGAGGACCTGAGAACTGCTCGCTCAGCCCTGAAACTCAAGAGCGAGGAAGTGGAAACTGAGCGTGAGCGAGCCCAGGCTCTGCAGGAACAGGGCGAGCTGAAGGTGGCCCATGGGAAGGCTCTGCAGGAGAATTTAGCTATCCTGGCCCAGACCCTATCCGAAAGGGAAGGGGAGATGGAGGCTCTGCGGGGAAATATCCAGGAACTGGAGAAGCAACGGGAGATGCAGAAGGCTGCTTTGGAAGTGCTATCTCTGGACCTGAAGAAGAGGAACCAGGAGGTAGGCGTGCAACAAGAACAGATCCAGGAGCTGGAGAAGTGCAGGTCCGTCTTAGAGCACCTGCCCCTGGCCGTCCAAGAGCGGGAACAGAAGCTGGTCGTGCAGAGGGAGCAAATCAAAGAGCTCGAGAAGGATCGAGAGACCCAGAGGAGCATCTTGGAGCATCAGCTTCTCGAACTTGAGAAGAAGGCCCAAGTGATAGAGTCCCAGAAAGGACAGATTCAGGATCTGAAGAAGCAGCTGGTTACTCTGGAATGCCTGGCCCTGGAACTGGAGGAAAACCATCACCAAATGGAGTGCCAACAAAAGGCCATCGAGGAGCTGGAGGGCCAGAGGGAAATGCAGAGGGTGGCTCTGACCCACCTGACACTGGACTTGGAGGAGAGGAGCCAGGAGCTGCAGGCCCAGAGCAGTCAGATCGACGAGCTGGAGAGCCACGGCACCCTGCTGGCACAAGAGCTGCAGGACAAGGACCAGGAGCTGAAGTGCCAGCGACAACAGATCGAGGAGCTGCAGAGGCAGAAGGAGCGTCTGGCTCAGGACCTGGAGAGGAGGGACCAGGACATGCTGCTCCAGACGGAGAGGATCCGGGCCCTGGAAGACCAGAGGACGCTGCAGACCAAGATCCTGGAGGAGGACCTGGGACAGATCAAGCTGTCGTTGAGGGAGCGAGGCCGGGAGCTGGCCTCCCAGAGGCTGCCAACGCCAGAGCGGGCAGAGGAGGGGAAGGGCCCGGGTAAAGCACAGCGCGGAAGCCTCGAGCACATGAAGCTGATCCTGCGGGATAAGGAGAAGGAAGTGGAGTGCCAGCAGGAGCGCCTCGGAGAGCTGAGGGAGCGCAAGGACCAGCTGGAGCAGGAGCTCCAGGACCTACACAGGAAGGCGGGTGAGACCAGCGTCCTCCTGAGCCAGCGAGAGCGGGAGCTGGTGGTCGTGCAGCAGCGTCTGCAGGACGCCAGGGAACGGGCGGAGCTGAAAGAGCAGTCGCTTCAGGGTCACCTGGAAGAGGCGCAGAGGGCCCTGGCTCAGAGGGACCAGGAGCTCGAGGCCCTGCGGCACCAGCAGCAGCAGGCTCGGGAGCAAGAGGAGACGACGAAGGAGAAGGCAAGCGCGCTGCGGAGCGCCCTGGAGCGGGCCCACGCCGACCTGCGGGAGCGCCAGGGAGAGCTCGAGGGCCACAGGGAGCACGTGCAAAGGCTCCAGGATGAGCTGGCCGTGGAGGGACAGCGCGGGCAGGCCCTGGAGGAGGTGTTGGGTGCCCTCAGGGCTGAGTCTCGGGAGCAGGGGGAGGATCTGCTGGCCCTCCAGCAACAGTGTGCCGAGCGGGCCCAGGAGCACGAGGCGGAGGTCAGGGGCCTGCGGGACCGCCTGCTGCGGGCGGAGGCCATGCTCAAGGAACGGGACCAGGAGCTGGAGGCCCTGCAGGCAGCCGGCCGCTCCTCCCAGCGGCGGGAGGAGACTGCCCGGGACCAGGCCGAGGCTCTGCAGGAGGCCCTGACCAAGGCTCAGGCCGCCCTGCAGGAGAAGGAGCAGCGGCTGCTGGGGCAGGCGGAATTGAGCCGCAGCCTGGAGGCCAGCACGGCCACTTTGCAGGCTGCCCTGGACTCCTGCCAGGCGCAGGCCCGGCAGCTGGAGGAGGCCCTGCGGAGACGGGAAGGCGAGATCCAGGACCGGGATCTCCAGCACCAGGAGGCCGTGCAGCAGCTCCAGTGGGCACTGGCCCAGAGGGACGAAGAGCTGAGCCATCAGAAGAGGCAGGGGCAGCTGCTAGAGCAGTCTCTGGCCCAGAGGGCCCGAGAAGATGCCATCCAAGAGAAGCAGGCTCTGGGCCGGGAGAGAGAAGAGGAAGAGGTGCGGGGCCTTCGTGAAAGCCTGAGGGAGTTGCAGCTGACTCTAGCCCAAAAGGAAGAGGAGATTGTGGGGCTGAGGGAGGCCCAGCAAAGGAAGAATCTGGAGGACTCACCCCACAACCACACAGCCTCCCCAGCGGAGGAGCCCTCTACAAACTTTGACACTTTAGGACCCCGGCTGCAGCATGAGCTGGAGCGACTGCAGGCAGCACTGAGGCAGACAGAGGCCAGTGAGATCGAGTGGAGGGAGAAGGCCCAGGACTTGGCTCTGTCCCTGGCCCAGAGCAAGGCTAGCGTCAGCAGCCTGCAGGAGGTAGCCATGTTCTTACAGGCCTCTGTTCTGGAGCGGGACTCAGAACAGCAGAAGCTGCAGGTGAGTCACTCCACGGGTAGTACCGGCCAAGGGGGGCAGAGCCTGTCTGGCTGAGCTCAGGGGCCTCGTGCCACCCTGGGCTTGTGACACCTCAGGGTGCCAGAGGGCGGAGATAGGTGGAATTCAGGGTATTGTGCTGATCTGAGGAGATATGGAGAGAATAAGACAGCTACAGTTCCTGCCCTCATAAAGCTTATAGTCTAGCAGATAAGCAATTAGAGTGCAGTGTCTGGTTCTAATTAGAGCCTCATTAGGGAAGTTTAATGTGCTCTGAGCACAGAGAGGGCACCCAGCCAGCCTTTCCTAGTAGTAAATCCTGGAAGGCTTACCAGTAAAAGCAGGGTTTAAGATTAGATCTGATTCGACCAGTAAGGAATTAGCCAAGCCCAAGTCTGGGAGGAGCTTTCTGGGGAAGAGGAAAGAGGGAGGAGAGCACGGGGCATCTGTACAAGGACTTCGGGCTGAATGGGACACAGAGGGGCAATTGGCAACAGACAAGGCAGCAGGGGCCCCATCATTCAGGGCTTCTGAGTCGTGTCAAGGACCTGGGTGACCAGTGGGACCTGGATGAAGTGTTTGGGGCAGTGGGGGAGGGTGACACATCCGATGCAACAGTAGATCTGGGGAGACCAACAAGGACGCAGTCATCAAAGTCCCAGGACAGATGGTGACCTAAGACAGTAAGGGTGGACGGTGACGTGGGGGTAGGCCTAGAAGCTCACAGGACTCCTGGCAGTTGACTGGCTAAGAGACAGGGGAGTGAAGAAAGGGCAGAAGGAAACCAAACCCCCAGGTTTCTGCTCAGTGGCAGGTTTCGGGAATACTATGGAATGGCAGTGGAGTGAGGGGCTTACGGGACCTGCAGGGGGTGACGTCCAGGGGTCAGGTCTGTAAAGTAATCTAAAGGAGAAGGATGATGCTAGGGATAGAGACTTGGGGTCCTCAGCAGTTAAGGACAGTTGCACTCCTCTAGGCGGAATATCGAGTGAGAAGAGAAGTGGACCTTAGGGTACAGCATTCAACCTTAAGGTCAGGGGCCATGTGTTAGTCCCCTTTGCTTCTCCAGCACTGGGCACAAGGCCTGCGCAGAGTAGGCAGTCAGGAAAGCAAGGTTGACTTTTGGCCATAGAGAGGCATTGTCTCTTTTGCCAGGAGGAACCCAGCCCATTTTTCCCAGGAAACTGACTCCACGTCATGGGGCCTTGACCAGGGTTGAGCCCCAGAGAACCCCCTCCGTCATCTGAGACACACAGTGCTGCAGGGACTTACCTTCTGGGAGCAATATGCAGAGAACGGGATCCATGAGTGAACTTTGGAGTCAAGTTCCTGGGTTTACAATACCATCCTACAGTCTATGGGCTGTGTGACCCTAGATAAGTGCCTTCACTTCTCTGACTCTTGGTTTCCTCTTCCATAAAATAGGGAATGACAGTACCAGCCCCATAGGGCCATTTGAGTATGAAATGAGATAATACATATAAAGTGCATAGGAAGGAAGCATTCGATAAGTAGAATTCCTTTCCTATTTCTAGGCTCATTCTTATAGGCACAGAACAAGCAAGGTCTGTTGCTGGGCAGGAGGGTTACCGAGCAGTATCGTAGCTCGGGTCAAGGTCCCCCTGCACTCCCCCCCAAACACTCAAGAACATCTTTCAGACGCAGCCCTTCATCGCAGTGCTATCATTTCTTATTTTAAGCATTTTCCCTGCCATGCACGGTTACTCTTGCTTCCTTCCACAACAACCCTAAGAAGTAGGAATTATTATCTCCAGTTTATAGTTCAGAGAGGCCAAGTAACTTGTCCAAGGTCATACGGCCAGTCAGTGGCAGAACTAGATCTAGGGAGTCTGACTCCAGAACACAGCCTGTTGACTGCTGGGCGCTCCCTGTCTCCCAGACGACCTAAACCCATGTACACTCCCTTCCTCTTATCTGTCTCTTTTCTTGACCATTATCATTTATGAGACATACGGTGCCTAGAAAATATCTAGCGCTGGGGTCCCCACTCATCAGGAGGGATTTAACCCCAGAGGCTTGATCTGTGCTTCATGGAGCATGTGGTCATTTTACAAATGAGGAAATTAGGTTTTGGAGCGAGCTCATATCTTGACCCAGGTCATATAGCCGGTAAGTAGTGACAGAATGCCCAGCTCTGCGTGATCCCAGAGTCCATGCTCTTTCTACAACACCTCAGTGCTCCAGGTTGATGCTTAGCTTATGGAAGATCTCAAACGAGCCAGGTTTTAGTCCTAGCCCACCATGTATTTTTGAATAGACCCCTCTCTGCTTCTTTGCTTTGTCCATCTGTAAAATAAAGATTCTGCACTAGAATAGCTCAGAGTATCCAGGAACAATGACTATAACCTGATGAGAAAATTAACTGATTTTTATGAGGATGGGAGGTAGCGTGGGTCTGGATATGAGGTTGCCATGGTGTGATTTGCTCCACACCTTGATATCCCAGGATGAGTTGGAGCTCACCAAGCAGGCTCTAGAGAAGGAGCGGCTCCTCAGCCCTAGCTCAACCAGCAGAGCGGAACGGGGGCCCAGAGAAGAGGTAGGTGCACAGCTGGAAGAGGTGACCTGGGGGCCTGGTGGGAACCGTGGCCAGAAGGAAGCTTCTTTCCAGGGGCTTGTTCCCCTCTGGGAATTGGGTCCCTGAAGCTCAGACCTGCCAGATTGGTGGTCCCTTTGTCCTCTCTCGGCTCCCCATCCGTCTAAGGGGCTGGCCAGGTGAGAGTCCCAGGTCTGTCCTGCAGGTGTCAGGAGTAGAGGCTGAGCCTGGTCTCGGCACGGAGGAGAGGCAGCTCTGGGGACAAAGGCTGGAACACCTGCAGGAAGCCGTGGCGCAGCTGGAGATTGACCGGAGCAGGCTCCAGCGCCACAACGTCCAGCTGCGGGTCACCTTGGAGCAGGTGAGTCCTCTCTCCTGTCCCCAGCTCCCGCATCTGGGGTCCGGTGCGCAGGCATCTCCACTTCTCATGTAGCCCCCAGAGCAGAGTGCTAACCTGTGTAGCCCAGTGGCCACATCCAGCACTGCCTTTTGCTGAAAAGCAATGTTCGTGAGAGACTGCAACAGTGCAGTTGAATAGTTGTGCCAGAGATTTGGTGGCCTGCAAAGCCCAAAATACTACAGAAAGCATTTGCTACGCCTGCTCGGAAGGCCTGAGAGGCGGGCCCTACCTCTTCCGCCCCAGCAGCGTCTCTGCTCTCAGGGCTGCTCTGGCCTGCGCCCTCCTCCTCCCAGTTTAGCTTCTCATGGTTGCTGTCCCCTGCTCACACCAACACCCGCAGCCGAGCCCACACCGGCCTTCTCTCGCAAAAGGCAGTTCTGCTCCAGCCCCAGAGCCAAGCCAAACCCTGACTTCTCACCTGCATCCCGGCAGGTGGAGCGCGAGCGCAGGAAGCTGAAGAGGGACTCCATGCGCGCATCGAGGCCCAGCGTCCCGGAGGTCAGGGAAGCCACAGCTTCACCCCCCACACAGCAGGTTTGCCTCTTTGGCTTAACTGTAGCCTCCAGAGAGCCCACATCTGGCCACCAGAAACAGCCCCCTGCAGTGCCTGTCCCAGGCTACATCACAGGGGGAGACGGCCATGTGAGCCGATCCGGGGAGGCCCCTCCTGGCTGGCTTCTGCGAAGCTCAGTCTGTCCCTGACCCAGGAAGGAGGCCCATCCTCAGTGGGTGGGGATGGAGTCACGGCTTGCAGCCCTACCTTCTCAGGAGTTCAGAAGGCCTTCCCTGATGTGTAACCTCCCTGCTTCCAGACCAGGGCCTCAGGCTCATCAGGCTTCTGGTCAGAATCCCAGGCGAATGGGTGTTGGGTGGTGCTTGCCAGAACCTAATGTGCCTACGATCCTCATAGCAGTTTTGTGGGCCTCTCGGATCTCCTCCCTTGTAGTACTGAATTTACAAGATTAGAGTCCACGGTATTTCCTGGGACTAGACTCCCTTTTTGGGGTAAGGAATTGGGGGAAGACTCCCCAAACCAGCACTCTTTTAGCTGGGTTATACCCATCAATAAACAGTGCTGCAGCCTGTCTGGGAGAGACTGCTTCTGGTGGCTGAGCATCTCCCAGCTTTCCGTTCCCCTTCCTTTATGAAAGCTTCCCAAGGGCAGGCACCTTGTCTTACTTCCTTTCTGCATCCCTAGCTCACAGCCCAGGGCTGGCACAAGGCAGATGTGTGGCATACTTCTGTAAATGAAAAGGTGACTCAAAGAAGCCAATGCCAAAAGCCAAGCCTTTTGGATGTTCAGCATCAGGTCTCCATGGGCGTCATCCACTAGGCTGGCTTGGGCCCTCCTGGGCTTCCTTGCCCAAGGGTCAAGGTACCCTATGGAGTCCAGTCTGGTTTTGGGCACTTCTGGCCCATAGCCCTTACCTTGGCCTCCAGGATTGGGATGAGCTGGCTGAAGATGCCTATAGAACCCCCAGGGCGGGAAGGCCTATTCCAATAGGAATGGCATTTGTCTTCCATAGGATGGAAGGGGAGGACAGAAGGGCTCCTCAGATGCCAAGCACATTGCTGAACTGCAGAAAGAGGTATGTTCTAGAAGGATCAGCTTTCTAAGCCCCTTTTCCCTCCCTTGCAGTCAGGCAACAAGGCGTGAGTGTCTGCTGTGTGCTTGACCCCTTGTGCCCTTCCAGCGGGGAGACGGGAAATAGTTCCTCCCTCAGAGAACTTCAGTCTGTGTGGGAGGCAAGAAGAGCCCAGTCCCAACTCAACCTCCCATCTGCTTAGGGTAGGAGTGAGGAAGAAAGCATGCTTTAGACCCCAGACTGCCAGGTTCCTACCTAGGAAGGAAAAGGAGAAGGAAGAGGGTTGAGGGGCAGACGGAAGATTCTGGGAGGTCAGAGGAAAGCAGACACAAGCATCCGGCCTCCTCTGCCCTCACATGCACCCTGCACGCAGGACTGTTGCCAACACACCAGGCAGGGTAGCCTGGAGCCAGCACCAAGATCCATACCTCAGAGCTCGGCTCCAGCCGCCCCCCCGAGAAAGCCAGGATCAAGGGCCTTCTTGCCTCATAGGCCTAACCTGAAGGCTCACCCTGTCTCCCAAGGCCTGGCAGTCATAAGAACTGTGGAATTTCTATTTCTGAGCCCGTTTCAGAAACTAACAGTCACTGCTGGCAGAGCCTGACTATGCAGCTAGACTCGGCTATTAATTTGAATTCATACGAAGCAGCCCTGAGATGGGGCCCGGACTAGGGTGAGGCAAGGGAGGCACACAGGGTGAGAATTTAAGGAGATGCTCACTGTCGACCTGGAGTCGCTCCTTAAATTTTACACCCCAGGCTCCTCTCTGCCTCACCTTAGTCCTGGCCCTGCCCTGAGCGCCCAGTAACCACCTCCTGGTAGTCTCAGTGTACTCATCCAAGAAACAAGGGCTCATCACTGATGCTCAACCCTGGCTGCACATGAGAACCACCTGGGGAGCTTTGAAAAAATACTGATGCCCAGGCCTCACCGCAGTCTAATTAAGTCAGCGTATTTATCAAAAGCTCCCAGAGGGGCACAGTAGAGCTTCCTGCAGTGATTAAAATATTCTGTATCTTGATCGGAATAGCGGTTATAAGTGCGTATGTACATGATCAAACTCATCACAATGTGCACTTGAAATCCCGGCATTTTATTACATATAAATGATCCCTCAATAAAGTGGATGAGTAGTTCTGTTGTTGCTGTTGTTTTTAAGGTCCCTACTTGAGTCTCCTATGCAGCCAGGGTGGAGAATCACTGGATTTCCAGTGACTCCCAAGGGCCCTCGCCCCAAACACCCTAGAGCCTGATCCTGAGATTTGTGTGTGGTAGTTGATTCAAATGCTCTCTCCCAAGAGCCCCAAGAGCGGAGCAGGGGGGGACTTGGGGCAGGTTCAAGGCCCTTAATTACTCTTGGTTCCCCCCCCGCCCCAGGTGGCCCTGCTGCGAGCCCAGCTGGCCTTGGAGCGGAAGCAGAGGCAGGACTACATTGCTCGCTCGGTGCAGACCAGCCGTGAGCTAGCGGGCCTGCACCACAGCCTCTCCCACTCACTGCTGGCCGTGGCCCAGGCCCCTGAGGCCACCGTCCTGGAAGCCGAGACCCGCAAGTTGGACGAGTCCCTGACTCAAAGTCTGACATCCCCAGGGCCGGTCCCGCTGTGCCCCAGCCCCAGCACTACCCAAGCCATCTCCAGATAGCGGCCACAGTCAGGGCAGGATCCGGGCCAGCCTGGGACTACACGGACAGACAAATGGTTGTCGTGGCCCAAGGAGGAGGGAAGGAAACCTGCAAGGCTGGGGCAAGGCCCCGGCTCACATGGGAATGAGGCAAGTCACAGCTGCCTGGGGCCCACAGAGTCACCTAGAGGAGTTTCGCTCTGGCCAAGGGGCGTCTGCTGCCTCTTGTCTCGAATATATTATCGCAGCACCTCACTGAATCTTTCTCCTCCCCGCCAACAATAAACCCCGCATCTCTGCCTTTGCTCCCTGCTGCTGTCTCCACTTCGTCACCGGGCCACCACAGCACAGCAGGGCATCTGCGAAGGAAGGATTTGCTAAAGATTCCTGTCAGGTGGCATGAATTTGCTGTCTGCCTGCATCCTGACAGAAGGCAACAAGACAAAGCCCCCGTCCACAGGGAGCTTGAGGCCAGTTGGCAAGAGCACTCATCAATGAGTCACAGACCGTTCTCTGTGCTGACAAGAAGTGCATAGAAATTCCGGGGACCGAGGAAGGAAGGCACGAGCTGACCGTTGAAGGATGGAGGAGTCTGGCGGGGTTGCTAATCTTGTTGGTGAGATGGGTCGGCCTGTGGCAGAGCGTGCTGGGGCTGAGGTTGGATGGGGAGGCAGGGAGATTATAGAGGGCCTTGGGATCTAGATTTGAACTCGTGGATAATGAGAACCATCATATGTTCTTGACTTAAAACAAGTTCTAGGGCTTCAAAAACACTGAGTTGACCTTTGGCTAGTCGGTCTCTGGAGTTCAGACACTCCATCTGGCCTCATCCCCCTTCTGCTCTGGGTGAATGCCCTTGGCGTCCCTTCCTGGGCATTCCAACGGGGACCAACTCTGGTCCCCTGTAATCCAGCCACGTGTCGAGCCAATAAAGAGGATAGACAATGGCAGAATTCGTCACTTATGGACTGACCCTGGTGGAGGCACCCTGGACTGAACCTCGTTCACTGGCTTAAGACATTGTTGGCAACTTCTTCGAAGCCTAAGAGAACAGTTTTCTTTAAAGAAGCTGGGCTTGGCCTTCCTCTGGCCCTTCAACTGTAATCTGGAATTTCCTAAGCCTAAGGATGGAGCTAAGGCCCAGTTAAGAATGGGGGGGTCTGAGAGCAGCACTCCACTCCCCCAAACCTACTTACTCAGGGTTCAGGCCCCTCGTATTCCATCGCATCACACAGAGCGCATGGGGGGGCTGTTCACCACAGCCAAAGCTTTGTTTCAAAAACTCATGGTATGGGACTCCGCAACAGATGCTTAGTAAAAAGTTGCAGTTTAGAACCCCCTCCCCCAGAACTAGATCTGGGGCCCCAGAGATGCTGGGCTCTGGGCGCCACCTCTAGTCAGTTTCTCTGTGACTGAGAATCCTCACCTGGCCTTTTCTGTGCTCGGAGTTCTCAAGGACAAACAGGACTTCTCTTGGTTCCTTACTTTTTGGTCCTTTGCCTCCAGTTCTTTAGCTTAGAGAAGAGTGTGGACCTTCCAGACAGGACCCAACCTTGCCTAAGGGCATCGGGCCAGAGCTTCCTCTCCTTCTCCTCATCACATGCCACAGCGAGTCGGTGGTTCGGAAATGTCCCTGACCAACTAGGTCTTGTGGATGTACTTGAGGACGGTGAAGTTGGTCACTAGAACCCTGAGGGAAAAGGTCAGAGCTGAGCGCAGAGGTCTCCTTTCACAAAATTTTCTCCTCCCACCTCTTCCTCATCTGTTTTGCTAGAGGCTGGTACAGGCCAGAAAGTCCTGAGAGTAGGAGGGGACAAGAGCTGAGCCAGAGTCTGGGCCACGTTCTTGTTCCTGGGGAGTGCCTGGGTCTGGTGGGAGCAGCACCCCATTCTCTCAACAAGTCTCCGAACTTGGCGTGTTAGAACAAGGATCACCAGAGCACAACCTAATTACCTTGCCTCCTCTGCTTCCCTACTTGGGACTAGCAGCAGCTTAAAGGTAGAAAAGCTGCCTAGCATGAGGTAGGGAAGGAAAAATTGGTTGTATGTTAGCAAGGGTGGTGGGGAGCGCACAATCACAGGCGGTAGAGTGATGGCAAGATCAACATTTACACCAAAAAGCCAAGGGCTGTCGGCTCCAGGCCTGGGGCCTCCGCCAATCACACCACCTGATGAAAGTTGCCCTTGTCCGCCTTGGCTCAAGACCCCTGCAGTCCACACTACATCTGGAGGCTTCAGCAGCGCCTGGATATTCTTGCCAGCTCACGAGCGTTCTCGGGTCCTTTATGTGCCCATAGGCTCTGTTTGTTGCCCGTGTTCCCTGAACCTAAAAACGGGGCCTGGTTCATTCTGCAGAGACAGGAAGTCAGGAGGGCACTGGGGCTCACAGGCCAGCCCTGCTCACCACCCTCACCCCCCCACCCCGGGACACAGTGTGGTGCTCATCGGAGGAGGTCCCATGGCTCGAAGACTGCAGACTCCCCGAGTCCCGCACTGTTCAGTGCAGGACTGGCGTGGGCAGGTCTTGGAGTTTTGCTGCGGCCTGGGGATCAGCTGAAATAGTTCCTCCTTGGCCTGCTGGCCTGGGTTGGGTCTCCCAGCGTTGGTGCCTGTGGAGAAGAGCACAGACCACTAGCCGCTTGACCTCCATGTTCTCACACAGAGGAGGCTGGACTTCATCGGAGTAGAGAAAGGAGTCAGGGAGGAGATAGAGCCCAGGAGCTCTGGAGATGGTGGTCTCCAGCTTCATGAGGAGCTTTGGGGCCCATCTGGAAGCACTGGTCAAACGAGGCACACAGCCTGCCGGTGAAAGCAGGCTATGCAGATGCAGCGCCGTGGTGAGCAACCTCAGAGCCTCTCCAGCTCTGGGGCCCCTGAGAAGCACCTGTGGGGGTGGGGATACTTCACCCACAAAAGCATCAGGGCAACTCCCAGGCTAAGACTTTGCATGCAGGCCTCCTCTCAGCCCATGAATAGGTCCCTTTTCAGCCAGCTGGTTGTTGAATTGGTCTTTGGACAGGGGACACCTTCATGCGTTGTGTCCCCCCACCCCCAGCCCACACTACCTCACCTCCTACCCCGTGACCACTGACCACCTGTTCACTCCCCAGGCCCGGGGAAGGGAGCAGCTGAGCTCCGTGCAAACGCTAGCCCTGAAGAGCGGGGGTTTGTGGCACAAGGAGGCAGGGGCGCACGGAGGCGGGGGGCCGGAAGAGCAGGGGCAGTGGCGCGTGGAGGCGGGGGATCGGAAGAACAGGCAGGGGTTGGGAAGAGCAGGGGCAGTGGTGCGCGGGGGCGAGGGGTTGGAAGAGCAGGGGCAGTGGCGCGCGGAGGCGGGGGGCCGGAAGAGCCGGGCTGTCTGTGCCTCAAGCAGCGACGTCCCCTGTGTGATCCTCCAGCACAGTGGGGAAGGAGTGCAAGCTCAGCTCTGCTCACCACACTTAGAACATGAAGAACATAGGGTCTTATTTGGGGCCCTGGAATTTCCTCCCGTCTACCCTGCTGGAACCCGGGTTTGCCTAGACCCCGATGGAGGGGAGGCTCAGGAGGGAGGCTCCTCCAGAGAAGGTAGAGCTGTGCTCCCGGGTCCCATGGGTCTCACCCAGTTCGTTTATATGGGTAACCTGTCACGGTGTGGACATGGTGATCTTCCTTCTTAGTCCTTTGTTAACCAATGTTAGCAGCTTCTTATATGCCTTCGTGAGGCCCGAAGCTTGACACAGGTGGGAAGTCTTGGCGGTAAAAAGGTGAATGAGTCAGGGGTCCAAGGAGAGTGCGTTTCCCCGCTAGCGCGGTGCATCGTGTCCCACTGAGAGTGGCTGCTCTCTGATCTCAGCACATGGCCTTGCGTGTGGAGGCGGGGAGGGAGATGAGAACTTGTATTCAAATTTGGTTCTTCCTAATTACTGCTAGTTGTTGAGGTGAGGGAATCAGGGAAGGCTTTTATCCGGTGCCTGATAATCCATACATCACTCTTATACCTCCTATCTTGGTTTCCTGTCATAGTCTCTCCTAGATCTGAGTATTCCAACCCTACCCGGCACTCCAAGAGTCTAAGGCTCGTGGCAGGCCAAGACTAGCCTCACATTCTAGCTGGCTGATTCCCTGGCCTTCTGCTGTCGCACTGTGGCTTAACAAGTTGTACTGGAGTGGATGTAACTCCCTTCTCTGTGTAAGGGCCCACCTCTTGTCTGCCCAACTCCAAATATAGAAACCTTGTGGAGAAAATGGGCTGCTTGCTGCCCCTGCCCCTAATCCAGCTCTTCATTCACCTGGCAAATACTCCTTAAACCTGCGTGTCACAAAGCTGCACAATGAGCACTGAAAAGAGGAGCTCTTCTCCAGGGAAGGCACGCCTGGACATATACAAACACTCGCAGAATGACCTGGAAGTCCAGAAGAGACTCACTGGCTGCTCGTTGAAGCCAGAGAAAGTGTCACAGAACATCTTGGTGGACGAGAGGGCTGGAGAGCCCTTTCAAAGTGTTTCCAAGCTGATTGGATGGATACCCTGGGTTTATGGGGTCCAGGAGTGCACCTGTGGGTCCCAAGAACAATGGCAGGCTCTTGGAGCTCTAACCAGCTAAACCGCTCAAGTCAGACCTTCCTGACCAGAGCAGAAGCATCAGCCACAGGTGAACATCAAGGCAGCCCATGAGCCTAAAATCCACCATGAAGGCTTCATTACTGTCCCACGCTCAAGGCCAAGTGGCCGGCTGACTCAGACACCAAACACTGGGAAAGGTAGGAAGCTGTGGTCACAGACTTCACCAGCACCCCACTGCGCTGGCCACCTCCTTCACGGTCACCTGCTAAACTCTACAGGATTCGCCCCTGGAGGCTGAGGGGAGGGAGGGGAGAGGCAACATTTGGTGTATCCTGTGGCCTCCCTGGAGGAGAAGGGGCTGATGCCCCATGGGGTTCTTCATGCCAGCCCGGTATCAGGGACCGCACCACACAGGTCACATTGTGAATTCTTGCATGGAGGCCTTGTGGATAACCGCCTTCCCCTTGGCATTCAGCCCAGGGCCCAGCAGACAAGGGAGGGCTTGGAAATCAAGTGTAATGGGGACGGGAATAAAACAGGCAAGACTGTGTGCCAAGGCCGGTGTGGGGCACCTCTCTGAGATGGGGGCCTCTCTTGCTGGTGCAGCGTTGCTGGGCAGGAGGCAGACAAGGGAAAGGAAGAGCCTCCTGGCCCCTCGTGAGAAAAGAATCTACAGAAAAACTTCGTGATGTGGTTAAAAGTACATTTCTGTCCACTCAAACTTTTTTTTTTCTCCACAGATTTTGGTTTCATTTATTTAAAATGAAACCAGTGCATGCACCTGGTTACAAAATTAAGTAGAAAAGAAGGTAGCAGTTTCCCATCCAGTTCTTTTCCAACCTCTCTCCGGGGACAGCCAGTGCTTGAAGACTCTGTTTTTGTAGTGGATAATGTTATTCCTCTAAATAATATGTTTATATGATGTCATGATGGGTCCAGTACCTAGAATAACATGACGATGGGCTGGGACACTGCTCTCACCTTTGGGGATTTTTGGACTATGGCTCCACGCTAGACCAGCCGGTATCCTGCAGCAACCTTGGGGAGGCGGGTACGTGTGTGCCTGGTCATATGAGGGTATATGCATTTTGTTAGTGTCTGTGTGCTTATTGGGCAGACAGGGAGGTCGAATGTAGTGGATATTTGTTTTACACACCCAGCAACTGCACACCCTCATCGACTGAGGCTATTTAATTGCCTTGAACCACCGTTTCTACAAAGAAAGCAGGATAAATGCTTCCCCCTCCCCAGTTGATGTAATAGTCTCCGCCAACAAATTGTTTTTATTTCTGAGTCTCATTATGGACTCGGGATTTTTAATGTATTCCCTGTGAGTCCATCACGACAAGTGCTATTTTTGATGATCAGATCTTCCCAACTTTGAGGTCTGGGTTTTCCTTCTACTTTTCCTGTCCAGACTTGGAATCTTTCCATGGGAAAGAAGTGTTTAGAAAACAAAATCTGGGGGCACATGGGTGGCTCAGTCGTTAAGCGTCTGCCTTCGGCTCAGGTCATGATCCCAGGGTCCTGGGATCGAGCCCCGCATCGGGCTCCCTGCTCCACGGGAGGCCTGCTTCTCCCCCTCCTACTCCCCCTGCTTGCTTCCTGCTCTCTGCTCTCTCTGTCAAATAAATAAAACCTTTAAAAAAAAAAAAAAAGAAAAGAAAACAAAATCTGAGTTCCAGAATTGATCATTGCTACTGGTATGTTCAGGCTTTTAGACCGTTCAGATGCCAGAGCAGAAAATGTATTTGGAAAATCGTGAGTTCATGGTGGTGTTGGTTGCACAACAGTGTGTACTTAATGCCCTTGAACTGCACGCTTTAAAATGGTTAAAATGGCAAATGTTATGTATATTTTGCCACAATAAAAAATAACTTAAAAATTGAGCTTATAATGATATTTCCAGTTTGAATTTAATGTCACAGGGTTTTTACTCTACCTGTCTGACTTTGTATTTGGCTCATAATAATATAATTACTTATTTACTTTATTCCATGATAGTTATCATACAGTTTCAAAAATAATACCAATATTATAATAAATCTACTGAATGACGTTTAAAATTTCTCTGTAGGTCTTTTTATACACAGAATATATCCTGCAAAGGATACACAGTGTACTGAGTTCCAAAGGAACTTGAAATAATTCTTTTCTCTGGTGCTTGTGTTATTAATTTGATATACGGTTAGATCCATTTGATTTGTTCTCAACTTTAGGGTTTGCTTGTTTCCCCTTTTCATTTGATTATATTTATTGGTTATATATATATATTTATTGGTGATATATATATATATATAGTGCTCTTAAGAATCTGGAATAGAATGTAGCCCTCTAATACCACCAGGAATCCAATGAGAGAAATAAGCTATAGTTTTATTTAGCAGCAGATCTATATCTGGGGTCCCCTTTCTGACGCTCCATGGTCCCCTTGACTACCTGTCAGCTCCCAGGGCCTCCAGGGGGCTGAACAGGTTGGAAAACATGCCAGCAGTAGATAACAACCTTCCCCTCACACTGCAGCTTGAGGATGACCTTCTGTTCTTCTTTGAAACTGCATGTTATTCTCGAACCACTATTTATCATACCAGTAATGGGACCACCTCATGAGCTGATCTGTCCCCAAACCAAATAAGGCACCTGGGAAAGAGGATAAGACAGGAGAGAGTCACAGGGTCACAGGCTGGATCCTGTCCTGCCCCCATGTCCAGCAGTCACCCTTCAGCACTCATTTAACATCTAGTGTGATAGGCTTCCTCTTAGAGCTGGGAGAGCAGAGCTCACCTTCTCCAGGGAAGACACACTCTGAACACACAGTGTGACCCCGGAGCCCAGCAAAGAGAGCACAACTAGCTGCTCCTCCTCATACTGGAGGAAGAGAGGACTCCCCAGGGAGACAAGAGAAGGGCATTCCAGGCTGAGGCAGCAGTGTGTGAGAAGCAGGAGGCAGCTGGTGTTTGGGGAACACCAAGAAGCCCAGTGTGTGAGCCTGGGAGACAGGAGGGGAGGGGAGGGGGTCAGATGATGCAGGGTCTTGAAATTTTTAAACTCTATACTTGTGTGAGAAATAGACCAGAATCTTTCCTAACCTGGTCACGGGTGTGCAAGGCACAGAACAGAGCCATGAGCCCCAGCAATGCATACTGACCCTGATCAGCCAGCCAGTTGCCCTGGTTATACCTGAGGAAGGTGGGGCTAATCACCAGGAGGTGGGGAAGAAGGGAGAGGGGGCCGACTTGGGCCCCGCAGCCTACAACCCCGTCTTACTCCCTCCTGTCCCCTTACCTGGTCTTTGCTGCCTTCCATTCCACTAGGGAACAGGACCACCTTCCAGAATCTAAGAGAATTGGGAGGTGGGGGAGTTTCAGCAGTCTGAGACCTGGGAAGGTTCTGCAGGTGCCCCTAATAAGCCAGCAGAGGGTTTTCCTGGAGCCCCTCTGTCCTCCCCTGCAGTGACCTCCCCTGACCCCCGCACCAAGAACGTCTGGGTTCCCAGACCATCACCTCCTCACTCGGGGCATCTGAAGTCCATGCCAGACCAGAAAGCTTCAGCAGCAGCACCAGCTGTCTCCAGGAGCCCCGGATGCTGGCGTTCCAGGGATAGACGAAGCGTCTTGTGGTTTGGTTCCCCGCCGTCTCAAAGCCCTGGGCATGGCCCTGGCTCATCCTGGGAGGGAGAGCAGGAACTGCCAGCACTCTGAGGGCAGCCCTGACCTTCCCATGCCCTGCCCTCTCCCCAGCACCCACCTGAAGGCTGCGGTGCACTGGTTGACGTTGTGGCTGAGGCCAGAGGCCCGCAGGGTCGTGGGGTACCCCACCAAAGCACAGGTCCCACAGTAGAGATGGAAATGGCTCACTGAGGGCCTGGGAATCACCTTGGACAGCTTCTCCCACATTTGGCCAAGCCCACTTGCTGAGTTCATGCCCTGGAAACAGCAGAAGGGAGATTGGGGGCTGGGACCTGGGTATCACCTGGTAGCGGGCGAGGCCCCGTGCTGGCGGTCAGGGGTCGAGGCCGTGAAGATGAGAGGTGCGCTAAGCCAGGGCCAAGGGCAGGGGCTTGGGTGGGAAAGTGGAACATGGGCTAGGCCTTGGAAGGACAAGGGGTGGGACTGGGCTCGGGGTTCACCACTGACCAACCACCAGAGCACAGGGGTCAGGGACTCTGTCGCCCCAGTCAGGTACTCCACGGTCTTCCCATAGCATGCAGCAAACCCGTTCCCCTCTCCAACTCTGTGGTGCCGGAGGGAGGAGTTTAGCATCTCAGATGGGCAGCCACTTGTCCTGAGTTTGAGCCAAGGGCAGTTGCAATGCAGTGGTACCAAGACCATCAGTTTCTCCTGGGGGGCCGATTCAGGTCTAGGATCCAGACACGGGGCCATCAGCCACAAGAGGAGCACCCAGAAGACCCACAGGACAAAAATCTGCCACCAGTGCTTCATGTTCGGCCACATGATGGGTCCCGTGGCCGGCAGCACACCGACTTCTCTACCTGGGACTGGGAAGGAGGAGGAACTGAGGCCCCAGCATCTCTCTGTCCCATCGGCCCCCAGGGCTCCCCAACCCTCCACACCACACCGCCTCCCAGCCCCTCATCTCCTGCCTCCCTAACCACTTGCTCACCTCCAAAGAGGACTGTGGCTGGCCCTGGGATGGAAGGTGCTAGGGCAGAGAGATAACATATGGTGGGTCCCGTATCCTCCCCACAGGAGGACGGCTTAGCTCTCAGGGTGCTCCTCCGCCAGTTATACCATAGACCTCATCACAAAGTACGCATTGTGACCTCCATCCTGTAGCCTGCCTGGGCATAGCCGCCACCCTATCCGGTCTGCGATACACCAGCGTCTACACTGAATGTAAGACCCACAAGGACAGGCATGAACCTGTCTGTCTTTTTTAGCTCTGCATCCCTAAGACTTAGAATTATTTAGTAAGTATGTATGGGATACACGAGCAGAGTTGAGAGGGAACTTAAATACTAGTTAGTGTAAGTGTGATGCCCCCTCTCCAATGGTGTGACTTCGGCTCAGACCTCTCTTCTGTTCTCCAGACCTCATGCCCAACAACCCAGTGGTCTTCCGCTTAGATGTCTCAGAGACCTCTCCTGCAGAACAAGCCTGAGGCTAAACTCATGATTTTCTCTTTAAACCAATCCCTTCCCAAGACTCCTCCATCTCAATAAACGTCCCGCCAGTCACCGAGTTGCCGAAGCCAGAAACCCACGTGCTCTCCTGGAGTTCTCCTTCTCCTAGGATTTCCAAAGCCATTTTCCATCCAGTTGTTTCTGTCTCCACCTTCTTCTTAACCACCTTCTTCACCTCCACTGCCACCCGCTTAATTCAGTCTTCACTGGCGGAAGATATTAAAAAACAAAATGACAGGGATCCTGGGTGGCTCAGTTGGTTGAGCATCCGACTCTTGATTTCAGCTCAGAGCATGATCTCAGGGCCATGAGATCAAGCTTCACGTCGGGCTCCATGCCCAGCTTAAGATTCTCTCTCTCCCTCTCCTTCTGCCCCTCCCTCCTCTCTCCCTCTCACAACAACAACAACAAAAAAGGCAAATTTTGAGTTGTTTTTAAGATCCTTCCTTATGTGGGTTGCACCACAGTGCATATAAAAAGTATTTGCTTGAGACTCTTAGCCCAGTGCTTTCCAAACAAGAGTATGCCTCAGAATCACCTGGAAAGCTTAATAAAAGAATGCTGAGCCTCATCCCCAGAGTTTCTGACTTTGTTTTTCTGGCGTGTGCCTGAGAATTGGCATTTCTAACAAGTTCTCAGGTGATGACAGTGCTGTTGGTCCAGGGGACCACACTTTAAGAACCACTGTCTTGGCTTAATAGATCTATCACGAAAAGAATTTTACAGAAAAAAAAAATGATTCCTTTATAGGGGACGCCTGGGTGGCTCAGTCAGTTAAGCGCCTGCTTTAGGCTCAGGTCATGATCCTGGGGTCCTGGGATCGAGCCCCACTTTGGGCTCCCTGCTCAGCAGGGAGTCTGCTTCTCCCTCTGCCTGCTGCTCAGCCTACTTGTGCTCTCTCTCTGTGTGTGTCAAATAAATAAATAAATCTTTTAAAAAAATGATTCCTTGATTAAAATGGAAGCTCATATTCTAATTATATTTTTGCTTTCTAAAGAGAAGCTTATGTTTTCCTTCCACAACCTGCAATAGCATCCTAACTGGTATATCTACTTCTGTTCTACCCATCCCTTATCCGTTCTTCACCTAGCAACTGGCATGATCTTAAATTAATTTCCTGCTTAAATCCTTAAAATGCCATCCCATTGCATGCAGAATAAAATCCAAAATCCTCACTCATCTCACATTTTCCAGCCATTCTGTCTTTTCCTTGTTCCTCGAACTTTCCAAGTTCTATCTTGCCCCAGGACCTTTGCACTTGTAATTCCTCTTCCTAGAACACATTACTCCCTCCCACTCAGTACTTCACCTCTCTGGTTCCTTCCTTTCCTTCAAGTGTCATTTTAAATGTCATTTAAATGGACCTTGGGGTCCATTCCCTGACCCTAGTATTATCAAAGTCTGTAAGAAGCTCTCTTAATTGGACTCTGAGACACACTGACACAGCTGTGTTATGATTCTTCCTTCTCAGGGGAAGCAGTGGGATTGCTACACTGTGACTATTGTTTTCAAAACAGATACACCGAGGTCTCCATATTTCTCCCAAGAGAAAAATGGTCGATCTGCACTGGGGAAGGAGAACATGCAACATCTGCAAATGCATTTATTTATTTAACAATTAGGAAAAGTTCATTTATCAGTGTGCAAATAAAGCGAAAGAAGACTGTGACGGGGCAGAAGGAGCCAACAAAAGGGACTGAAACCCTCTTCTCTGCCTGGGCTTGTAAGCTGCAGCTACAGGGACCAGTGACCCCCTCTGCTGGCAGCCCCATGTGCAGAGTGAACCAGTCCTGTGCAGGCCCCACCCGCACAAAAGTTGAAGGATTGGTATAAAGCCTGACATTATGAAGGATGAAGTCTCTAACTAGTAAGCGTCTTGGTCTCCTGTCATGGCCACCTAAAAGAATTCTGGAAAGGGAAGGACCATCTAATTCTGGAATTCCTAAAACAGAAAGTCCCCCACCCCTATTGTCACTATTACAGTTCCCTGATTATTTGCTTCACAGCACAAGGTACATTCTGTTGTTTCTTTCTTTCTTTTCTTTCCTTTTCTTTTTTCTTTTTTTCTTTCTTTCTTTCTCTCTCTTTCTTTCTTTTCTTTCTTCTTTCTTTCTTTTTTAGTAAGCTCCATGCCCAGTGTGGAGTCCAATGCAGGGCTTGAACTCACGACCCTGGGATCAAGACCTGAGCTGAGATCAAGAGTCAGATGCTTGGGGCGCCTGGGTGGCTCAGTTGTTAAGCGTCTGCCTTCGGCTCAAGTCATGGTCCCAGGGTCCTGGGATCCAGCCCCACATCGGGCTCCCTGCTTGGCGGGAGGGAGAAGCCTGCTTCTCCCTCTCCCACTCCCCCTGCTTGTGTTCCCTCTCTCACTATGTCTCTATCGTCAAATAAATAAATAAAATCTTAAAAAACAAAAATCAGATGCTTAACTGACTGAGCCACCCAGGTGCCCCTGCTTTTTAATTATTATTTTTTTCCCAATTGTGTATATGGTAAAATACACATAACATAAAATTTAACATCTTAACCATTTTTAAGTGGAATATATATACATTTCTTGTTTACTTCTTTCTCTTTCTACCCCCTACTAAAAGCTTTTTGAGGGTAGACATGAGCCCAGTCTGTTTTATTCACCATGGTATTCCCATAACCCAGGGGAGATATGGGAAACAATAAATATGTGTTGAAGGAGTGAATGGGGTCATTAAGCCTGGAGCCCCTCTAAGTAGAGAGGGTTAGGAAGAGCACCAACTGGGCACAGGCCAGAGAGTAGAGGACAATTTCAGCTAACTTTCCTGGGCGACACCGAGAATACATGCTACTCACACTTGGTGGTGGTAGCGAAAGTGCAGAAAGGACCCAGGCTCTGGAGCCGGAAAAACCAGGCCTTGAACCCCAGCTTTGCCCCATTAACCTTAGGCAAAGTCAATTCACTTCTTGGCTTCCTCATCTATAAGTGGGGTTTGAAATAGCACATACCTCCCAGGGTAGAATGGATTACAGCAGTTGGCATATTGTCAGTTTCCAGTTAACATGAACTCGTTCTTTCTTTCCCCCACATCCCTAGCAAACTGCAGCCTGAGGGCAAAAGGGGGACTCTGACATCACTCAGCTTCTCCAGAGTCACATCGTCACAGGTCACCCAGCTCCAGTGTCCCTTCTCTTCCTGGAAGCCTTCCCTAACCCAGCACATCAATTTCTCCTACAGACTACAACAGTCCTCTGTGCCACCTCTTATCAAAGTTCTGGTCTTACATCCCTGAAATGATTTGAGCCAAGCACCTTCATGAGCCATGCTCAGAAGCACTGAGAGGCTCCCAGGGTACTTTGAGGTCCAGAAGAAATGGGCTGGAATCAACCCAACCACAACCCAGGGTATAACAGAGCAGAGTCAAGGTTGATCCCAAGGTTTTGGCCTGAGCAAATGAATGACTTGCAATAGGCATGACTAGAGAGGAGAAAGAGGATTTGTGTGTGTGAAAGACAGGAATATTATGTACCTGCTGCTGTGTTAACAAATTATCCTCAAAATTAATGGCTTAATAGAACAAAAGTTTGTTTTTTCAGTTTCTGTGAGTTAGGAATTCAAGAGTGGTGTGGTGGGGTTGCCCTGCCATTAACTGGCTGTGATCTAGGGCAAGTTACTTAGCTTCTCCGGGGCAGTTTCTCTTTCAGAAAATGGAGATAAAAGTCCCACATACTTTCTACAGCAGTGATTCTCAAACTAACTGCAGGGAATCACCTGGGACCAACCCTAGAGTTTCTGATTCAGCAGGTCTGTGATGGGGCCCAATACTCATTTTTAACCAAGTGCCCAGGTGATGACGAGGTCGCTAGTTGGAAGACACTTTGAAAGCTACTGTGCTAGGAGGTTCCATGTTGTTCCAGGCCTCTGATGTGAAACTCTTGGCGCAGTTCCTAGGTCAAGGCAAGCGAATGCTATTACTGTTTCTGCCCCGCAGAGTCGTCTCCGGGCGCCCTGTCCACACGACAAGGCCGCCCGGGCTGAGAGAGCGGTTCCCGCCACGGTGTTTAGACTCTGCAGCCCCCAGCAACCGTGCGCGCTGCGGCCGGAGTGAGAATGCGAGCGCGGGGAGGGGCCCAGCGTGCGCATGGCTGCGCCTGCGTGCGGACGGGAGGGCGTGGCTCAAGCTCCGAGCCGGAAGCAGGAGGCTGCAGGGGCGGGCCGGCTGGCGTCCCCTTTCCGGCTGGTCCCCATGGAGGCGCTGGGGAAGCTCAAGCAGTTCGATGCCTACCCCAAGACTCTGGAGGACTTCCGGGTCAAGACCTGCGGGGGCG